GGACATCATACTCTGTAGTCACCAGGGCTTCAGCCAAACTGGGCAAACAGGTGAAGCTGATGGACTCACGCATACCGGTCTTGAAGACCAGGGCTGATATTCCCAGCTCGTACAAATTACCCATGTCGCCACAGTCCTACAGTGAAGCTGTGCAAAGTCAGCCAAGTGGATGTGGCTCCACCCCTGTTAACACGACTAGGTTAACAGATCCGAGTGGGAAAATTGCACTAAGTGAGAACTGCATAACACCCATCCCCATGGTAGACCATGAAACAAATAGGAAGGCCAAAAAGAAACGTTCACGACGTCGCAAGACGACAAGAACGCTCCCCAAGAAGGCAGACGACTGCAAGGTCTGCGCTTCTGTTGTCGAACAAGCAGACTCTGCTTTCGAATGTAACTTTTGCAAGCGATGGGTGCATTGCAGATGCGACAATGGGGTACCAAAAGCATATTATGACTTTATGCGTAAAAACCCATGCCAATGGTTCTGGTACATATGCCCGAGTTGCCGTCCTGATGTAGCCTCGCGTAGTCCTTTGAAAACTAAAGATGGTGCAGAAGTAGCGGGGAAAAATATGAAATGTTCGACCCGCACCAATCCGGAAATTAGTACAAATGCGCGTAAACCGGGGATACCAAAATCCTCACTGGTTAAACCTGTAACTCTTGACATAACCGCTCCAGACACAGAGGCTGGAGAACCACGGGTCTCCGTCGTTGGAAAAAGACCCCTCTCGTCTGCCAGTAATACTGGCCACAGCACTGAGACACAAAAAATACCCAGTCGCACCAGACGAACCAAAACGGTCTTAAAGGAAATCACAAATGTGCGAGGACCGAGCCCAAGCCCACGGTTAGTAGATCAAATTGTGTAATCCTCTTTAATGTACCAGACTGTAGCAGTAGTCTGCTGAAAGATAGGGCCCTATTTGATCAGGAACAGTGGTCCATCTTGTGCAGCACACTGGGTTTGGACATCCAACCAGTAAATCTATGCAGATTGTACAGGGGCACTGCTGCACCTGAAGGCAAACCATCCCCACTGAGGGTAACATTGGGCTCTACCGAGGATGTTGAAAAAGTGTTACTGGCTTCTCAAGTCCTTTCTATAGGGAGGGCCTGTAACATACGTGTTAAGCCAGACAGGCCGTGGAAGGAAAGACAAATGGCGAGGGAGTCGCCAGAGCTCATTCCTTCTGCCTCCATGGTTGTGCATGGCATTCCCGAACTGGTAACTGGGAACGCCTGCGAAAAGCATTGTCATGATGTACAACAATGGAGATGGTTAGCATCCCAGATGGCCCTGGGAGTTCAGGGGCTGTCTCTATTTATAGACTGCCTCGACCCACTCATCTTATGTCAATTAACTCGCCACGTCTGTTAGCTGTCAAGTTCAGCTCCCAAGACCAGTTGACTACCGCTCTCCATAGATGGTACGAGACCAAGGACAAGGTCAGCAAACACATTCGCTGCTGCGAGAGCCGGCCTCGCACTCAAAGGAGAGAACAAAGCGTAGTTAAAAAAATCCTCAACCCCTAGTCACACTACAGCGGTGCAGCACGGACGATGATAGCCAGTGTCATCCGAGTGCTCCGACTGAACTAGAAGAAAAAAACGCCAACAGGCCGGTTCCTGGGGAATCGGCCAACTAGTTCGTAGGATAACTCCTCAACCGATAGCCAATATCAAGTCAACTACCCCCCAATACGGGGAAGTGGTGAGACTGACTACCAGTTGCCTGTACAGTAATGTGAGAGGGCTAAGAGGCAAAATAGCTGAACTTAGACACCTACAATCACAACTGAACTCCAAAATCATAATACTGACGGAAACCTGGCTAACCCCTACGGTGGCAGACAGCGAAGTCAGTATAAATGATATGGTCCTAGTCAGGCGAGATAGGGACCTGAAAGAAGGAGGTGGAGTCGCCATATACGTCGACAAACAGCTCAGATGTGTTCACGCGATGGACCCTCCCCTCACAGAGCTCCCTGACTCCATATGGTGCCACTTCACCGTTGGGTACTGCAAATATCTAGTGGGCAGCATTTATCGATCACCTTCATGTGGAGCAGACCACAACCAGGTACTGCTAAATACAATCTCAGCAACTCAAGACATGGGTTATGATCAAATTGTCATAGCTGGTGACTTCAATGCCCCATCTCTTAACTTGGTGTCGGGAAAAGCCCATGATAGATTTGATCGAAATCTGCTGCATACCATCAGGAAGGCTGGATTCACTGAAAATGTCAAGATGGATACTAGATGGGGCCCTGATGGGAAGTCTTCTAGACTGGATTACGTGCTCACTAGTGACCAGCTACTAGTGGAAAACGTTCAGATCACGACTCCCATAGGTAGTAGTGACCACGCGGTCATAGTATTCGACATAGTCCTCCGCGAGCGCTTACAGTGGGACAATACACAGCCCTATCTGTGTTATAACAAAGCCAACTACACCAAAATGCGAAGACTTCTGTCTGAAGCAAATTGGCCTAAAAAATGGACAGAGCTAACAGTAGAAGAACACTGGAGAGTGGTAAAGGAGATCATTCACCAGGCGGTCTCAGACACTGTTCCTTTAGTCACACCAAAAGCTAGGAAGCAACGATCATGGCTAAAAGGGGGACACAACGCCTTCTGCAGGCGAAGCGAAAAGCCTGGTTTGCGTGGCGACGATCGAAGAGTCAACCCGAACATGAAGTGTACCTTGAACTCAGGAATCGATGTAACATACGAGTCCGGAGCGATAGAAGGACATTTCAGGGAGACCTCGCCAATAAGCTTCTCGTGAACCCCAAAAGCCTATACAGGTTTATGTCCGAAAGAAAACCGACCAACCAGGGAGCATGCAATCTAGTGGGTTCTGATGGGAAATCTCTTACTAGTCTTGAAATGGCAGAGACATTCAGCCTAGCCTTTCACAGGCAACTAAACAGTAACGAGGATATTACCCCACAGAACATCCAGATTACATCGCAAAACCAACACGCGAAAACCTGCTGGGTACATTTCAAATTACCCCGGCTATGGTACTTGCAAAATTGGGAAGGTTGGCTTCGGGAAAGTCTTCAGGTTGTGATGGCATCAGACCATCTGTCCTGAAGCAGTGTTCAGAAAGTCTCTGCCAACCCCTAAGTGATCTGTTCCAACACTCCCTTGATGTAGGGAAACTTCCATGTGAATGGAAACGAGCAATCCTATCCCCTATCTTCAAGGGTGGTGACCGGCAGAATGTGACCAGTTACAGACCAGTTGCTCTACTTCCAGTGATATCGAAGATATTGGAAAGTCTCATTGACGACCACATGAGAAAATACTTCGATGGGACTAACCTTCTTCACGAAGCACAGCACGGTTTCAGGAGGGGAAGATCCTGCGTGACGAATCTTCTACTAGCTTGGAACGATTGGACACTATCCTGGGACAAAAAGGTACCAGCCCACGTGATCTTTCTCGACTTTGCGAAAGCATTCGACACAGTTCACCATGGTCTGCTCCTTCACAAAATAAGCAAGGCGGGTGTTTCTGGAGCACTTCTCGCATGGCTGACAGATTACTTAGGCGAGAGAGAATTCTGCACCAAAGTCAACCGCATCCGATCATCCTGGCACACCTCGGCATCAGGGGTTCCTCAGGGTTCTATCCTAGGGCCGTTGATGTTTTTGATTTTTATCAACGACCTGCCCCCCCAACTAAACTGCTCTGCGCTTCTTTACGCTGACGACGTAAAGATTTGGAGAGCAATAAACTCATCGGAAGACTCAGATAGATTGCAGGCTGACCTGCAAACTCTGGGAAACTGGGCTCTGGCTAACGGAATGCCTTTCAACCTAAAGAAGTGCAAAGTAGTGCAACTTCATTCCGGCAGGTCACAGAGTGTAAATTACACCCTTGGTGGCCAGAACTTGAGTTGTGTTCCATCAGAGCGTGATCTAGGTCTTATTCTAACAGAAAAGCTAGACACCAGTGGAAATTACTCGAGGGACGTCGCCAAAGCCTACGCAACATTACACTTTATGCATAGGCAGCTGGGAGCTCTCACTCCCGAACTGTTCTTAAGGTTATATAAGGCATATGTGAGGCCACACCTTGAGGTGCATAATATCATTGCACCTCCGCTACTCAAAAGGGATGCTAACATTCTAGAAAGTGTCCAGAGACGAGCGACAAAATGGGTGATCGGCCTCCGCAACAAATCATATGAGGAAAGACTAAAGAAATTAGGTCTTTTCACACTTAGTTACCGTAGGCACAGGGGAGACCTCATCACCGTCTACCAGATCCTAAATGACCAGGCCCACCCAAATAAAAGCATCCTGCCATTAAGTGATTATAGGCTTCCACGAGGTAACCCGCTAAGGATAGCACACCAGAGACCAAAGACTCGAGTGCGATCACATTTCTTTTCGCTTCGTGTTTGCCGTCTCTGGAACGCTTTACCGGCGGCCGTGACTACAGCGCCATCTCTGGAGATTTTTAAGCGGAAGCTAGACAATCATGCAGAAATGCAAGGTTTGTGTCTCAATGGCTTATCCTCATAAAACTTGAAACCACACTGTCAATGGATAAGCGTACAAACTAAATCCCCACGACCTATTCTGCCTTCTCTCACTCTATCTTTTCCTTAGGTCACCTTTATTATTCCACTTATCTCAACCTATATTATCTACACTACAACCCATTATTTTTATTATTATTATTATTACTACTATTCTGCTTTTATGACTACACCGAATGACCAACGGGAGTTAGGTCAAACTCCATTCACGGCAGCAATACAGTCCTAACATACTGCATACTACAAACCACATCTCGACCAATCCCCGCACCACTCCTCCTGGAGTCTACCAGAGCTAAAGCAGTCGAGTGGCGGGACTTACTACGCAGAAGCTCACCGAAGATCTGGAACCTCTACCTCACAATCAAGAAGCGAGCTCAAAGAAATCACTGGTTTATACTAGCTCGTAATCAGGATATTGGATATTGGACAGAAAATAATGACCTCGACACATGACAACATGCCATAAACAGCTAAATACCGCTGAATTTGTTATATTTTGGTATAACACAATTACTGGATTTATCCTGTATGTACATACTAATAAGGGTTTCATCTCATATTTGGTATTTAATGCGAAGAATTTTCGAGATATTTAAAATTCGAGATCACATTTGTAACCATGAATCAGCAATCTAACCCAAGCCTAATAAAATGCTGAATTAAATCTCGCTAGTTCTGAAATAACTTTAACATTATATAGTGAGTAAATTCTGAATCTGTTCTGAAATGGTTTGTGTAAGCGCAAAGACTAGAGTTCATTGCTGGTTAGTAGCATGACTGGCACTAATTTAGCACACTGTTCTTTTTCTAGACAATTTTAGAAGTAGATCAGAACCTACTGTGTTTGCTTATCAGCGTTGTTTCAGCCCTCATGAGTGATCACTTAGCACTGAATAGCATTATTTCAGATAAGAATCTTATTTTTAAGACTTTGTCGCGTTAATTAATCACCAAGCGCTATTTTCAAGCATGACCAGCGTTATTTCATTATATAGTGGGTAGATAAATTATTCTCTTACTACATTAAGGTATTATTGACGCACAGATTAGAATAAGTTTATAATTGTTGTAATCTTGGGAAAAAGATGTCAAATATTTAGTAGATGTAATCTGTCATATTTATTATGATTATTAGTGCTTCAAATAAAATTACTCATTATCATTCGGTGCATGACATATGTCCGAAGAAAACGTTCTATGACCCAGCTAGCTTTTTTTCCGGTACGTTGCGGAATCGTTGGGGCAAAATCTTCGGTCTCGTTGCAAAACTTATGACACTTATCTGCCCCAAGGATTCTGCAGTGCGCTCGAAGTCAGTGCTATCTGGGATATACGTGATGCATATGCTGAAAAGAGTGGATCTTATTTTTAATTTCCTTATTATATCACAGATAATAAGTGGTGATCATAGGCAATTTTCATCTTGGTATCAAATTAGGATATTGCCTTATACTGCGAAGGAATTCATAGGCACATTAGTGTGGTCAAATTTGTTACTTTGTTACTTTCACTATTGTTCCTGTTATTTAGCAGTAGACATCTCAATCGGAAAAATGGTGAAAACATGGATAAATAATGTGCATGGTCGATAGTAATAGAAAATAAACGGATTTTGGTTATATGGAATAAAGTTTCTAGTTTTCGCCATTATATGACCAAAATTTAAGCAATGTTTCATATTTGTCCATCGTTAAACCGAAAATTTTCATTATTTAACCTCTTATTTCCAATTTCATCCATTAATTAGACAATATTTTCCCATATTTATTACTATTTAACCATGATTTGCCCATACTATTACTATATGTCTGAGACAGTGCCAGTTTTAACTATTAATGACCCATTTTTGTTCTGCTGGCCAGTCGGACATTCACAACCTACTTATCTGTGGTCTATGACCTTTGTCTTGCTTAGATTTGTTCAGACGTCGAGGAAATCCTATAGGGAGAGCCAGAAAGACTAATTAACTAGTTTAACGAAAGAAACAGTAATTTTGGGATTTTCACACGTTTTTTCTGTTCTCACTTTCAGTGCCTTAATAAAATGAGCCTTATTAGTGAAGTGTAAAGTGGCACAAAGGAATTAATTGTCTTTTTACTCACCAATTTTTCGTGCGAAGAGGTTCAAGAGCTGTATTATAATATACATTTATAGATATGTAGTAATATTAAAACAGCATTGACCTCGATACTTTATTTAATACACATAAACTATCACTTATTGGCAAAACTCGCATTATTCTGCTGTGAAGCTGTGCATCTGAGAAAATACATAAGTATCCGAAAGACAGTAGAGTTGTAGGCACTTTGAAGTTAGTTAGTTCCAGACGTGTGTTATTTGGTTGAAAATATGCATCACCTGAAACATCTGAAAACACTTTAAAATGATACTGGATATCTGAAACGCCACTATTTGGAACAATTTGCTCCAAGCATTTAGTGTTTTCTATTTTTTTGAAGAATGGCCCTAATTCTTAACTTAGCGTGGCCTAATAGATAGTTTCCTTTGATTGCATGGAGGATTTAATCATGAGCTGACATCAGTTAGAGAACCACTGGAAAACCTGGGAGTACTGGACAGCCATTTCGTCCTAGTTTGGGACTCCTCAGCAGTACGCACCCACCGGGATTCGAACCCAGGACCTTCTGGTTACAAGGCGAGCTCGTAGACCATTGAGCCACTGGGACCCGATCCAATGGTCCTTGAATTCTAACTTCTGCCAGTTCACGACATAGCGCGACCACTTCGCAATGTCTTCTTCGATGAGTTACTGCCTCATCTTCGACCTGCTGTACCCTACTGGTCACGGCTTCCCACTAGAACCCCAGGTTAACTGCCTGAATAGGGCCAGTCACTAGTGAGCATCAGATGAATTTTCAAGTATTGGTTTTTTTGTAGGGATTTTGTTTGATTGCATGGAGGATTTAATCATGAGCTGACATCAGTTAGAGAACCACTGGAAAACCTGGGAGTACTGGACAGCCGTTTCGTCCTAGTTTGGGACTCCTCAGCAGTACGCACCCACCGGGATTCGAACCCAGGACCTTCTGGTTACAAGGCGAGCTCGTAGACCATTGAGCCACTGGGACCCGATCCAATGGTCCTTGAATTCTAACTTCTGCCAGTTCACGACATAGCGCGACCACTTCGCAATGTCTTCTTCGATGAGTTACTGCCTCATCTTCGACCTGCTGTACCCTACTGGTCACGGCTTCCCACTAGAACCCCAGGTTAACTGCCTGAATAGGGCCAGTCACTAGTGAGCATCAGTGGCTCAATGGTCTACGAGCTCGCCTTGTAACCAGAAGGTCCTGGGTTCGAATCCCGGTGGGTGCGTACTGCTGAGGAGTCCCAAACTAGGACGAAATGGCTGTCCAGTACTCCCAGGTTTTCCAGTGGTTCTCTAACTGATGTCAGCTCATGATTAAATCCTCCATGCAATCAAAGAAGATCCCTAGAAAAAAACCAATACTTGAAAGTTTCCTTTGAGTTTAAAAGTTGGATATTTTTATTTAAATGGTTGTGGAACTATGGACCAGCCATTTTGGCACTTACTTTCAACCATTTTGTCGCAGTTTTGAAACTCCCCTGTCTAAATATATTTAAATCATTGAGTAATGTTGTTGTCTGATTTCCTCTGATATATTCTAAACCATAACTAATTTTGCAGAATATAAACCCTTATTCACTTTTCTATGACGGAAAGCGAACGCTTAACTGAGTCATTTGCCAGAAGGTTGTGGTTCGAAACTCCGCTTTAATGCATGCCTTTCGAACATCATATAGACTTTAGAGCTACTAACTTCTGGCTCTCAAAATAATAGTCTGTTGATTATCGCGTGTACATAAGCCTAGGAGACCTAAACGTGTTTTCCATTAAAGGAAAAGCAACATGGTGAATGACAGCCCTTAGTGGCGATTCCACCTAAAAGTGAGGAGTTTTTGAGTTTGCTGGGTACACTCATCGTTTGGTTAGAAAAATTAGGTGGTGCTAATTTATTTGCAACATCTCACAACCAACTGTTTTCTAAACGATCGAAACCAGTAGTCGAAGACTTTATAGGTTGACGTTATTTAGCAGTTTAGTTGTGCTCAATTGTTTCGCTCAGCGGCAACAGTAAAGAATAGATGCCTCGGTCAAATGATTTTGAAGCACTCACTCTGGTGCTTCTAGGTAAAAAGCGGCATTTATAGTATGAAAAGTGATTATTGGGTACATAAATATAAAATAAAAATGAGTTATGTAGGGTATGTGTCTGTAATTTTTCCATAGGAGTGTCTGTAGACATATACCGTTCTCATCTGTTTTCCAGGCATTCCCAAGGTCCTTCAAAAGAATCTGTATGAGTATCACTTGTAGGATCCATTAATTTTGATAAGCGATTGATTTTATGATAATTATGACCTGATGATGACTGTCATATTACTCAGCATTTCAAACGGTTGCTGCCCATAATCTTCGCTATAAATTCCACCCAAACCTTAACCATAACCGTAAACCCAACCTTATCTTAATTCTATCCTAACTCTAACACTGAGTCAGGATAAAAGTCACAATGAAGATTACGAAAAGCATTTGTTCGTAACAGTGAGCGATCTGATTAGTTGGTTTAGGACCATTCGACTGTGGCATCTATTCTTTACTGTCGTCTATTTCGTAATATCAGGGGACAGTTCTAGCTAGTAGGAACGACGGATCATCATATTGAGTTGTGTTCCTATAGTTTAGACTTGTTCATATTTAAATTTTTAGAGAACAGTTAGCATCTCTGATGTAATTTTGAACTTCTAATCCTTCTCCACTCTCAGTGTTCACAGAATTACTCGATGTGTTTATCTTTCGATAGACAGGTCAGCAAATCCTGTAAGTATTTTCATTTAGCTGGAGAGATGTAGACTTCTTCTTGTACTCATTTTGGAATTCATCAATGGCTGATACAACTCTCCGTACAACCCATGGTCTTGACGCATGATTTCAGACTACTTCTTATTATTAAAAATGAATCATTCTTTCATCTGTCATTTCAGTTGTTTACAGACTCTCTTAATTTATGTACTTTATATTTTTATGAGTTAAGTTCGAAGAAGTCCCTTTCAGCATTCATACCTAGAGATCAGAATTGAGTTCCAGCACTACTGGTTTTGTAATTAGTCAAAAAGTAGGCGATACCATAAAGATAGCTAAGATTAGTTATAATTCGTAGACTAAGAATTGTAAGCGTTTGATAAGACGAACACTAAAGATGAATATTAAAGCTGGTGTAACATTAATAATTGAGAAATAGGCTTACTTAATTTTCATTAATTCTTTCTCTGTTAAAAGTCCCAAAAGGTTGGCATAACTCCCATGATAGCTAAACTGACCACTGTGCTCAGTTACGTCATATTCTATGCTTGTGATAGAGTTAGAGGAAACTCGTAAGGGGATACAGTTTTTATGGTTGATAAATGAGAATCTCATTTGAACCATTCTTATGCTTTCCTTGAAATCTTTGGAAAACTCGGCTGTTTGATGCCATCTTTACTTGAAAATTAGCAGGAGGCCAGTGTGTGCTATGGATTAATTGGAGGATCTTCACGAGGAACATATTCTTGAAAAAGGCGGAGGTAATGAAGTTGTATTGAAGTTGTTACGATAGATTGCGGTGGAATTCTTTAAGAGACAAGCCAGTGACTGTTGTAAAACTGTAATTGAATATTGCGTAAAAACCTTCCAAAAAGTCTGGAGCTGTCAGTGCAGCCCATTTATTAGTCCTCTGTCTGTGAAATTACTTCTAAAAATTATGTGAATTAAAGTGATGTTTAAGCACCCAGATTTTGTGATGATACTAGGTTGTAATCGATTACTTCTGAAAGTACTTCTTACACGTAGGCTAATAGTTGTAATATCCTTTGGTTGCTGCATTGAGTTGGTGATCCAAAACATTTTAAGCTCATATTTTTTCTTCTGAGGCTTTATCAGAGATCATTTTTGAATTTGTTCAAGTTACCAATACAGTTGACGCTAATTTCGACAATCCAATCTCTACAGTGATTGAATACGCCTAGGTGTAAAGACACATTTGTACTGATTCTGTGATAGCAACAAATGAAATGCTGATGTCGACTCATTTCTACTGTGAATTATGTCTAAACAAAAGACGATGTAACAGCGAAAAAATTTTATTTTCCAGGCGAATCATTCCCAAGAACTGTACAATCATTTTTTATTGAATAAAGAATTTATAAAACCACCATGACAGTTGTAGTTATATCCTAGAAAATGCAGTGTGAAATGTAAAGTGTAGTGTAGAAGGGAGTGCACAACACTTCACTGCATTTCAACTAACTTTTTTGAGCGTCTCTTCCATATAGGTTGATCAAGTCATTTTTTTGCATCTGTTACATAATTTCAACTTCAACTTTTCTCAATCTCCACTTGTATAATCCTTTCTAGATTACACTTCACATTGTATAATACGTATTCTAGAACATACATAGTCACCAGTATTAGATTGGTTTTATAAATTCTTTCTTAAGTATAAATCCGATTGTGCAGCGCTGTTGAAAGTGATTCTCCGGAAAGAAAATTTATTGTTGTTGTTGTCGTGTCTCCTTTCGTTTGTGATTCAATATGGGAAGTTTTCGTCCATTAGGAAGGGGCTAAATTATTGACAGCACATTTCAGTGAAACATAGCAGTTGGAAGTGAGGAGTCACCACAGATCTTCCATTAGGTTTTGAGTGGGACACATGGTCTCAAAAGCACATCTCCATTTCTCCTTTGATTAAGCTTGAATTACAAAGATTGAATGCTCTCTATAACCAGAAGTTTCTTTCATGTAAATCCCCATCAAATATGTGGAAGTTATTAAAGGAAATCACAGGTGGTAAGCAAATGATGAATGATATTTCTGTAGATGTTAACATGCTTAATGAGTCCTTCATATGTATCCCAGCAAATGTTATGATTCCTAACTCATATGGTGTGAAAAATGACTGCTTCCCATGCTTTAACACGAATGATGTCCTCAAGTGTCTTCAATCTCTCAAACATACTCAGTCCCTTGGTCCTGATGGTGTTCCTGCTGTTATCCTTAAGAAATGTGCCGACATCTTGTGTTCTCCGTTAACTGACATTTTCAGCGAATCGTTTTCCGAAAGTATTATACCTGAATCATGGAAAAATATCAAAATCGTTCCAGTGCCTAAATCAACAAGTGGACCTAATGTTAAGTTTAGACCCATTGCAATTACCTCACCTTTTTTGAAAGTTATGGAAAGACTTATTTTACTTAATCTTGATCCCTATTTAAAGCTTTTCAACGACCCCAACCAGTTTGCTTATAAACGTAGTAGTCTCAGTCAGATTGTTCCAAATTAAATAACTTTCTGTCGGAAATTAGTCAGTGGTCCTCTTCAAACGGTCTTAAGCTGAATCCGCCAAAATGTCAAGTAGTCAATTTCACTTTCAGACGTAAACGTGACCTACAACAACTAGTTAGCTCACATGGCCCCACTATCATTGACGGCATAGAGCTTGAAATTACATCTAATGTCAAATACCTTGGGCTGAGTTTTTCTTCCGATCTCTCCTGGTCCTCCCACATCTTTCTAGTTACTAGAAAGATGTTTCGCTTAACGTTCTACATTAGGAAATTTAGGCAGTCTGGTATAAAGCAAGCAGTCGTTGCTCTCTCAGTTTGTCAATTCTCGTATTCTACCCATCCCCCTTTACTGCTCCCCATTAATCTTTCCTGGACTACTTAGTAAAGAAAGACTTTGCTTTGCTGAGAAGGACAGGCACTAAAAGCCGTTAGTAGGGAGGGCAAGTGGGATATCGTTAAACCAACTAACTGGTTAACACCATTGTGGATAGACATATAATGTCATGTAAGAAACTAGCGAATACAATATTGTCAGACCCCGAGGCGAGTATCCTCTCTATACGCAGCTGTCTCCTTGCATTTCGTCTGGTAGAACTAGAAGCAGCTATAGGAGGCTGGCTGGCTGGCTATATGCTAGGACCACCAAGTACAAAAACTCCACAATACCATATCTGGCTGGCACAGCTGTTATGTGCGTGATGAGAAATCCGTAGGTAGGTATGACACGATCAACTTACTGCGGAACTCTAACAAATAGTCCCATCCATCAGTTTTTGTTTTCCTTTCTTCGTTACTATTACACTGTTGCTCTGATCTTCTATTACACACCAATTTTATATTTCATATCCTGTGGTGCATTGTTTGAAATGTAAACTCTACGCTGTTTTTAAAAAAAATTTTATTTATCTTTTATTTTTTGGTGTTGGTTTTTTTTCATTTATTTATTTTTTGATTTTTAAAGTCTTATAAAATTTGTGAGGTAATTAGATGCAATATACTGTAATGCACGCTGAAAATTCCATACCTGTACCACAAATACTGTTTAGAATAAAGCTGATATTATTATTTTTATCTTGTCTTGTGCTGTCGTCTTCAACTAACTCCACAATTGCCCATTAGGTCTCATCTCCTCACACGTTCCTCTCAGTGCTCAGTCCCTTAGATGGACGCCTAGTTCGTTGTTTGCCACTCCATTTCTATTCAGCGTACTGGGGAGAGATTTCACTTAACAATCTTCTCGTCGTGTGTCCAATCCACCCCCATAATCTTCAGCATATTTGCTGGAGAATAGATTGTTGGCTAGTTCTTTTCCAGAGTTGTTTGTTGCTCATCTTTTGCTTATCGATCATTTAATCTTCAGTAGTGTTATTGGTAAGAGTCTGAGATAGCCTGTAGGAAATGCTTTTTCTGATACACATCGTCTATGAACCATGCAGACTTCACTTTAGTATTGGTAATCGGAATTTTGTTCTTTCTGCCTAGTGCAGTAGATCTCCACCCCGGTTTCAGAATAATGAAGGCTTGTCTTGCCTTCCGATCACCCCTTTGAGACATGTTCATCCATGTAGTCAGCAGTTTGGAGACTGAAAATGACCAGATTGCAATAAGTGACATAATTTATACAATAACTGCAGTCAAGAAAGTATATACTACTACTACTACTACTGATTGGAAACTACTCAGGTCACTTCAAACAATGTGGTTCACAAATCGCAAATTTCATCTGATGTACTAATAATTCACCCAATTATTAAACCGCAAGGCAGGCAGTTTAAAATGAGTTGGCTATCTGAACTGAGTTTAACTGAGTATATGGCGGATGACCTTTGGCCTAAATGAGTGAAACACCTGTCTAGATTTCGGATCACTTCATTTTTTGTCACAGATCTGTGATAGTGGCTCGCAGCTACTCATACCAATCAGTAGTATAGTACATAAAATTATCCAATTATATTTTCAAACAGGTTACACACATTGTGATCTAGACATTTTTGATTTCCAAATGAGACTGGTGAATTTTCACCACATACTGGGTTATTTGCAAACTGCAGACTAATTTGTATGAATTACCACTTCGTCTAAGCACCTAGTTAAAATTCAGGTGATCTGAGTTGAGCCAGACCGGGAAAACCGCTGATAATCCCTGTCCAAAATAATCTATGTTACGATCACTTCATTTTGACCAGTAAGCTAGCTCTATCAGCTTACGTGGGCGGTCGCTAACTACTCATATAAATTATTGAGTAGTATATAAGTATAATAAACAGAAATTGACGGGAATAAGAAAAATGGAATAGAAGCTATTGAGAATTAATTAATTTCATAGCTCATAAAGAGTGAATGTATCTATGTTATTGAGAATGATTTTGTGCCATGTCACGAACATTCTTCAACCTGATGTTCTATGCCACTGTACATGGTTCAGAGCAATAGTCAAAGACCTACTCAACCCGGTCGTATGTCAACTAACATTGCTTGAGATGGATAGTGATGGCTTGGCATATATCCTAGCCACCGCAATAAATGTATCTTCACAACTTCTCTGTACATAAAATCAATGCATTCCTCTATCCTGATTTACTTATTCGTATAATTCTCGAATTCCTTTTATGGCATATTTTATTTTATTATAACTTGACTCCATACAGTACTTTTTGTACAAGTATGAAATTTTCAGCATGTGATATCGGTAGCCCAAATCTTGCAGGCCAACCAATGATATCGGGTGTACACCAGCCGGGGATCTAACCCCGAACCAAACGGATGGTTGACGAGAGTCCTAACCACTTGTGCTTAAAAGTTTCTGTAGGATTTTGATTGATTTTCCTTGGTAGGGTCGTTAGCTCCGCGCTCAACCCTGCCTTTTTCTCCCAGTCTGGGACCGGCTGGGAAACTAGTGAGCTAGTGAACCAGACCAGGTTCGGTATATTATTTTAACAGATGAAATGACGAAGAGTTTCAGTGTTATGAGAAATTTATTTTCACTTCCATTTTGCTTACAGATTTATAAATTCCCCTTCACATTGACTAATGGTATTGAGTAAGTTTCAAAGTCGGAACCTCATAATACCTTCATTTTTTCTTCAAGTCACTGAAGATCTTATCAGAAAACGAGCTGAACACAATGAAGGAGAGATACATTCACTCGAGGAATTAACTTTACATCAACAAAATCTTGAAAGGTATTTTAACACTTAAACAAACCAATTGTAACGCATTGAACACTTTGTTTCCCCCCACCCCCCTCCCACCCAAAAGAATTGATAACCTTGAACAATGGTGTAAGCACCTACGTATATTATATCTTCAAAATAATCTACTCTCAAAAATTGGTAGGTTTTTCTTTTGTTTGTTAACTTTTGTATTCTAATCATCTTACAGAAAATGTTTCAAAGTTGAAAAAGTTGGAATATTTAAATTTAGCGCTAAATAATATTGAAAAAATTGAAAATTTAGAAGGATGTGAATCACTGAAAAAATTAGATTTAACAGTGAATTTTATTGGTGAATTAACCAGTATTCAATCGTTAGTAAATGTTCAATTTCTCGAGGAATTGTAAGTGAAAGTGAATGACACATGTGTTTGTTCATTTTAGATATTTAACTGGTAATCCTTGTACAGAATATCCCGGATATAGAGAATATGTTATCGCAAGTTTACCTCAGTTAAAAGTAAATACCTATTTAATGAAAATATTATTTTTTGTAAATTGTCAATATTTAGTCGCTAGATGGAAATGAGATCACCAAGTCGGAACGTATTATTGCCCTACAAAACTTTGACCATATTTTACCAATTGTATTAGAAAAACAAAAGGAGTATGAAATAAAAAGGGTGAGTAGTTGTCTGTAAAACGTTTCTTCTCTTTAATTATTGTTATTAGTTCTTTGGGTTTCAGGTGGAACATAAGGTGGGCAGCCAAAATATCTCCTTGTCACACTGTCCTATCTATCTTTCTCTGTTTTCAGCTGCCACTGAGAATGACCACAAGCTTCCATTTTGGACTTCACATAATTTCCTCCAGTGCCTTCCTTGAAATCATGGCCAACTCGTTGCTTCTGGCGTGTGATGTAGATCAATGGTCTTCTCAGGAATATGTACAACCCTTTTCCATTTCCTTTTGCATATTTATTAGGCGATAGGTTGTTGTCTGGTAAAGTTTTCTTGTTGTTTATTCATTCCCGCCGGCCATCTGATCGAGTGAAGACAGGTGTTAATGAATGTCTGAAGCTGACAGTTGACTGGTGAATCAAGTCTTTGAAACATGTAGGAGCGATGACTAACTTGATGTTAGTGTTGAAAGTTCGGATCTTATTCCTTGTGTGCAGTGCTGCTGATTACCACATAGATTTCACAGTAATGAACGTCTGTCTTGGTGTTTTGATAGTGGCTGGTTTTGACATTGTCATCCGTGTAGAACATGGGAACTGTGGTAGTATGCGATTTCATAATAATTTATTCACACAAGAAAACACCGCTATCACTGGAAGACGCGCGTCGAACATAATTTATTATTCATCATCATATCAGTTGCAACCTTATGGTTATCGTTCTTCTTTCTCATCTGTCATTGGGATAGTAGGATTTTCCAAATGTCTGAAAAGGTGGGAAGAAAAGTTAGCTGACAAAACATCCAACCCCACCATCACCGTATGTGTAGATGCCATGTTTGATGAGGACATCATGGCAAGGATCAGGAAAGCAAGGAAAGCTCTCATTACTCTCAAGTCTGTGTAGAGATCAACAACAGGATTTTCAACTCCAATATGAACTTAGTGCTACTTACTTATACGGATCAGAGACTTGGCGCCGCGTCATAAACATCACCTCAAACAAACTACAGACCTTCATCAACAGCTAACTGTCTTCGCTCAATACTTATCTGAAGATCAGATGGCCGGCCAGGGAATATCAGCAACAGGAAAAGATCTCTGGCCAATTGTGCAAGATATATGCAGGAAGAAATGGCGGTAAATTGGATAACCATACTCTGAGAAAACAAACCATTAAGTGAGTGGCATCACACGCCAGGTCATTGCTTGAGTGGAATCCGAATGGGAAGTGTGGCGAGTTAGTTGGTCGTCAGTGCGACGGTGACATGGAGAAGGAGGCCATACGAAGAGGAGATGAAAGCATGTGAGCAGATGTGGAGCCACATGAAAACGTTGGCGGAAAATCGAAAGTTCAGTGGAGACGTTTTGGCTGAAATCCTATGTTCCTGCAGGCACTAAAGGAGACAATTGTAAAACTAATGTTCACAGTATTAAAAAAAAAACACGGAATCTACGTAGGTTTTTCGAGAATATATAAACTCAACAATAGAAGCAATTCAATTTACTTATGATTTCAAAAGTTAGGAACAGGAGCTTCCAATATTGGATTACATCTTAAAAATAGAAACATAGATCAGAAATTAAACACGAGTGCGGAAGTGAAGCTTTATCTACCCTAAACAACTGAGACTACATGCAACAGAAGGAATCTAACAGTTGTCCTGAACATGTGAAGAATGAGACCACCCTTACAACAAGGGGTGAAGAAGAATAAGAACTAAAAAAAAATATCCGTTTTCGAAAATTATGTGATTACAGTTGATGATATGATATGTGTTCGAAACCACGTCATTCAATAAATAACAATAATATTTCACTGCGTACAATATTATCCAATGAAAGAGTTTCTTGCCTTTACTACAATGTGTTTCTCCTTTTTTTGACTAGAAATCAGAGAAGATTGAAGCAGAGCAGAGAAGACAGAAACGTTCTGAAAAATATAAAAATTCAAATGGGTAATACATTATTAAATATTTTTTTTCGTTCATGTCATTATTATTATTATTTACAATTGCGTCATAGGAGTAAATAAGAAGACAGTTGCAGCGAAGAAAATTTTGCTTTTCGACAAAGTCACCGTCGACTAGGCTGTACATTCGTGTATTTATATCAAATGGATGGGAAAGTTCCAGAATAATATCCGGTCAAGGGTCAAATTAATAAAAATTAAAATTGGGAATTAGAATGCCATAATAAACAGGGGGATGGATAAAACTCAAACAAAGTATCATCATAATAACTGAGAAGATTGACATTGTGCAATTAGGGGCTAGAAATGTAGAAATAACAAAATAGACAGGATGTTTGGATAAAAAAACTAATGTTATGAATAACTGTTTATGCAATCAGGGATTAAATATGTAGAAATAGTAAAATGACAAAATAAACACGAAGTTCGGGTATGAAAATATGCTAGTGTAAACAGGGATTAAGAAAAACTTGAAATAACATGAATAAACAGGAAGTTTAGATAAGAAAGGAGATGGGATGGTGATTACTAAAAATTACCTGTTTATGATGGCCATGGCAAGGACAGGGGTTGGACGTATTTCTTTTGTATACAAAGCGTGGGTTTGAGCTTTGGTATAGCTAGCGCCTCGGCTATGCCCAGATGTCTTGATTTTACTCCCTTTGATACGTTTGATCGAATCTTGTAAATGATTTTGAAGGATTTTTCGAGTGGCGCTGAATGTCCTGAATTCACCAGGTGTTCTGTCACCGAACTATTTACCCGTTTTCGTTCTCCTTTTACTAGCCAGGCTGGATAGTGTTCACGAGCGCGTTTTTCAAGTCGGCGCATGGTACAGCCAACTGTTTATTTATCCTGTTTATTCATGTTATTTCAAGTTTTTCTTAATCCCTGTTTACACTACCATATTTTCATATCCGAACTTCTGTTTATTTTGTCATTTTGTTATTTCTACATTTCTAACCCCTAATTGCACAATGTCAGTCTTCTTAGTTATTATGATGCTACTTTGTTTGAGTTTTATCCGTCCCCCTGTTTATTATGGCATTCTAATTCCCAATTTTAATTTTTATTAATCTGACCCTTGACCGGATATTATTCTGGAACTTTCCCATCCATTTGATATAAATACACGAATGTACAGCCTAGATGATGACTTCGTCGAAAAGAAAATTTTCTTCGCTGCAACTGTCTTCTTACTTACAATTGTGTTGATCCAGTGTCTCAGCCTGAGAAGAATTCCTTTATGAGTTAATATTCTTGTAGATTTTCAGCATTTGATTTATTTTAAGTTTGATCACCGATTGATATCACTTAGAGAAACATTGAAAATCAGCAAGTACTGGACAGCTATTTTCTCGTAGTTTGGAACTCTTCATCAGCACTCACCCACCACGACAAGCTTGTACTTTGTCTAGTCACTGGGATCCAATTCAGTGGCCAGTGATTTCAAAACTTCTACCAGCGAGTGATTTTAGCGCGAACACCAGCCAATGAATGTTATAGGTGGGTATTCGTCGTCACACTCTCCTTCCTGATGAACCTCACCAGTCACGACTTACCACTAGAACTTCAGGCAACTATGATCTGTAGCCAGTCACTAGCCAGTATTACATTAATTTTCAAGAGTTCATTTTTTGTTAGATTGGAGGAGAAACATTTTAATTTAGGTTCTACTGGACAGCTGTTTCATCCTAGGCTGAGACTGTCCAGGAGGATGCATTCATGATCTCAACAGGGATTGAACTGAGGACTCTTAGGTTACATGCCGAGTAAATTGCTGTTCATGCCTGTTCGTGATAAAATTTAACTTGAAGTCAACCACAATCTTATAAACCACTTCTTGAAAAGTCGACTATTAGTATTTATTAGGATCTTGCAAATCAAAATTTCAGGATCGATACCTTTATATAATTAAAGTATTGGAAGTTTTTATCGTTGTTATGACTCATTATCTGGTCATGCGAACACTGAATTCCCGCGAATTACTCATCGGAGAACTCTAGATTTGTATTTCAGAAGCATCAAATTAAAAAATGAAATGGATTCCATGTGAGATTAATTCATGTGAAGATACAGTTTTAATAACTAGACGACAATTTGCTACTGCTTATAACTGCTTTAAGTAAATCCGGAAATGATGTCATTATGAGTAGCAATAAATTTGACATAAAACATCATATTATTACATTATTATCGTTTCCTTTAGTGTCTAGAGGAACATTGGACTTCAGCCAAATGTCTCTACGGAGCGTTTAGTTCTCCGCCAATGCTTTTACCTGGCTCCACGTCTGCCCACATGCTTTCATCTCCTCTTCACATCACCTCCTCCTCCATGTCAACCTCGAAATGACCACCAACTCGCCGCTTCCTATTCGGGTTCCACTCGAGCCATGACCCGGTGTGTGATGTCATTAGATGGTTTTTTTTCTCAGAGTATGGTCAGCCAATCCTCCTCCATTTCTTCCTGCATATTTGTGGCATAGTCAGTTCCTGCTGGGTTGGTTGGTTTGTTCATTGCCTGAGATCCCTCCCTGTTGCTGATATCTTATGGCCGGCCATCTGATCTTCAGATAAGTATTGAGCGAAGACAGCTGTTGATGAAAGTCTGTAATTTGTTCGAAGTGCCCTTTGTGACATGGCGCCAAGTCTCTGATACGTATAGTAGCACTGACTTCATATTGAAGTTGGAAATCCGTATCTTATTTTTCATGCTGAGTGCTGTTGACTTGAGTAATGAAAGCTTTCCTTGTTTTCCCGATCCTCGCTTTGATATCTTCATCAGTTCCATCCACTTGTAGTTGAAAAGATTTTTCCCCTATAGGCGAAGGACATTGCTTCTCTAAGGTTTCTCTCATTTATGCTGATTGTTGTCTGTTGTTCTTGCTGTTGCTGTTGGCCAGAAATCTTCATCATTACCTCTGTTTTCTCTATGTTCATCTGAAGTGAAAACCTATCTTTAATGCTTCATCCAATTAATAATACCGTATCATTGTAAGTTATATCATCATGTGAGCATATCTAATATGGAATTATACTCTACCAAAGCGCCCAAGTTCTTCTCTTACAATGATGAGATATATTCACTAGCACCTAGTTATATCTATAGAAGACTAATCTAAACAAATGAATGTGAGTGTCTACCAGCTTCAGTGGTATGCGGAAATAAAGAATGTAGAGGAAATTGTAACATGTTATCGCGGTTTATATAATAGTCATACATTTACAATCACATCGCTGCTTACTCATCGATATGTAGAGTTAGATGACAAAAATAATAAAATTGACACATCCGATTTAACGATAGTCTTTGGCTTTTCTCTTAGTTGATTACAACCAACTCTGTCATGATGACACTAATTTACAATAACTGCTCACTATCCTCCGAGATTCACTTGTCGATGTTTCATCACTAACCGTAGTGATTTTTTTTATCGATAAGATCGCAGAGTTTGGTGATAAAACGTCAGCGATCAAATACCAGTGGTTGGAGAACGGTGAATAGTTTCCGTCTCCTTCTATTGAGATAGAAATCTATTCTACTGAAGAGGAGTCGATATCAGAAAGTCCTTGATTCTGGTGTTTGAGAGAGTTTTTCAAAGTGTATCGCAGTCATGGTACAGTTTAAATAAATCCTAGATGGTTAGAAGTGGTCCATAGTAAGTCTCAGTTCTAGGTATCAAGCTTGTTGACAGTCGACAAGTCGACAAGCATATCTGAAAACGCTGAAGAAAGTATTGATTTCCTCCAACTATGTAAGGCAAATCGTAACCATCATTTTTCTGAGATAAATGTGTTAACACTTAGCTATTGAAACGAAATTCACTCACCTATGTGTATTTCACTTTCTGAAAACTTTTACAACGCAGTACAAAATCTGTTGGATGTCATAAAGATCATTCGCTTCACTTTTTTCTCAATCTTTTTTGAACAAGGCATTAAGAAGACAAATTTCTCCGCGAGATGATATCGTCATTTCGTAGTTTCTTTACAACCGCTTTACACAATTAACATGGTTAACAATGATAAAATAAAGTTCATGAAAATTACTCAGTTAAATAAAAACAAAAGTACATACTAATGGCCAATCATATTAAGATGGGTCATGCAGTCTAGCGTAGGCGAAGATTGAAGTCTATTGATTTTTGTACACACAGTTTAGGCTGTATGTGATTAATCCAAAGTGTTTCCATCACCTTCAATAACCTTGAATTAGAGTTATGTAATGAAATAATTGTGAAACAGTCATTAATATTGATTTTGTGACCAGATATTAGTAGAAATCCGGCATCATCCATTGCAAAACACTTATTAATGTCTGGTCACAAAATTAATATTAATGACTGTTTCACAATTATTCATTACATAACTCTAATTCAAGGTTATTGAAGGTGATGGAAGCACTTTGGATTAGTCACATACAGCCTAAACTGTGTGTACAAAAATCAATAGACTTCAATCTTCGCCTACCCTGGACTGCATGACCTATCTAAATATGATTGCTCATTAGTATGTACTTTTGTTTTTATTTAACTGAGTAATTGTCATGATCTTTATTTTATTATTGTTAACCATGTTAGTTGTAAAGCGGTTGTAAAGAAACTACGAAATGACGATATCATCTCGCGGAGAAATTTGTCTTCTTAATGCCTTATTCAAATTTATCAAAGGGACTAATTGTTTTAATTTTCTCAATCTTTTTCTTTCAGTTTAACAGATAAAGATACGGAGGAATTTTGGAATGAAAAGATCCCCTACACACCTGAATCACGTATTGAAGCACATGAATATATGCAGTTACAAGCACAAGCAAAGGAGTCGAAAGATGTTTCAAGGTATGCAGTACACATATGCAGGGCTGGCCTATAAAGCATTTATTAACCACAGCATTTGTCCCTATCACATAAATGCTTTATACAAATGTATAATGAGACATACATTACTACTTAATAAGTAGTCGATAAAGTATTGAATAGGATTAAATATGGTTGATACACCTAAAATGAATTTAAAACAATCAGTAGAATTTATTATTCTCATGTATGAGACACTGAGCCATGTAACACACTGTGAAAGCCTGCAACACCATTCAGTTTTCTCAGGCTAACATGAGTAATATGATCGGTCATGCGGTCTGGTAGAATGCAAGCAATATGAATCTAATGTACTGACGGGAAAACTACTCCGGTTGCTGACTACAACATCAACAGTTACAAAAAATACCACCAATACATAATAATAATAATAATAATAATAATAATGTAATAATGATTTAATTTATTCCAAAAAAAAACAGTATCTGTGATACAAAATGGAATTTTCAGTATTAATCACAATATTCTTGCATCTAATTTCCTCAAATTATAAATAAAAATTAATCACACAGAAAACTTTCCACATTTACAACAGAGGTAATGTCAAAAACATGCAGCATATAAAATGGAAATAATAATAATAATACTGATAACAGCTAAGGTAATAATAATGAAAATACAAGTGAAAATTCCCGTGGGCTCGTTTCACACAGTATTGGCAATGTGGTATAGAAATCCTAGCATGTTTAAAAATATTGAATGAATATAATGTTCTCTTTACATGATATGGTGAGGGGAAAAACAAAGATTACAGAAGTCATGGAGATAAGTTGGTGTTTGCAATTATGAGAGTAAAATAAACGAAGAAGTAACAGGACCATAAATATAATAGAAATAATAAAATTAAAACTTGAAGGTATATAAGGATGGATGGATGGATGGAGGAAATTGTTTATTTACTAGATGAAAAAAGGTTGGTTAATTGTTGCCTGACACTATTTTCATCATATAAAATACGTGCCAAGTATGGTATCACGGAATTTTTATATTTAGACGTGTTAGCATACAGTTTTCTGAAGTTACGGGAGAAAAAGAAGTGAGTACTGACTGTTGACATAAGGGGTATTTTAATTGTCTGAAACAATAGTCCATCTTGATATAAGGATAAAATTCGGGCACTGTGTTGATGGAGTATAACTCCATTATGGATAAAATTTTATTTTGATAAAATGCCACAGTGTTGTACAGAAATGATAAATGATAGCGTTTCGAACACAAGTTATTACCACTGCCTTTAATCAGAACAAGGTACTCACTCAATGTGTTATCAATCAAATACAATCAGATGGGAAATAAGATGTTTTCACAGTAAAATAAATAAATAACTTGTTAGAATGTTATAACGTGAATTGAATTGAATTCAATACATTTTAACATTATTTATTATCCTCCTCTGATTTGACTGACTAGTGGCAATAATATCTTCCATGCATATCTCTGGTATTTGCATTGAGTCACTTCTACTGCATGTGTTGGGTGTAGATTATTCGATGAACCAGGATTCAGTAATCAATCTCTCTCTCTCTCCCCACCTACCTATATTATTTTTTAGAATTTTAACGCTCTCCCAGCCTATTGTGTGGTTGTGTGTTAATGCATGCAGTGCGATTACTGAGTTTTTTTTTTAAATTACTTAGCTTCGTTGGTAGGATCAATCATTCTAACCTCAGCTAAATTCTTATGTCCTGATTATTACACTACTCCTGATCTACTAGTTTGACTGATCTATGTGGTTGACCTTACTCACAATCATTCCAAGGTATTTTGTAAATTATATTTTTTATGTTAAATTGGGTCAACAGGATTCTTTAACCTACAGAGCTTGTCCCCACTGAATGCGTTTGTAGGTTTGAATGCCACTCATCGTTTATTGAGAATCCTATGTAGGTCTCAGATGTCCCTCCTTATATGGTATATCTGTAGATGCCTTACATTCTCATATTATTTCCGAATGTACATTATCTCATATTTATTGTATTCATCAATTTTAACTCATCTATATAAATCAGGCAAGAAAGTTGTGTGATTGAGTAATGCCTTGATATGATTATCAGCAGTATTTGTGGTACAGGTATGGAATTTTCAGCGTGCATTACAATATATTGCATCCAATTACCTCATAAACTTTATAAGATTTTAAAGTCAAAAAGCAACACCCCAAAAAAGAAGATAAATAAAATAAATAAATAAATAAACAAAAAGGACAGCGTTGCGTTTACATTTCAAACAATGCACCACAGGATATGAAATATAAAATTGGTGTGTAATAGAAGATCAGAGCAACAGTGTAATAGTAACGAAGAAAGGAAAACAAAAACTGATGGATGGGACTATTTGTTAGAGTTCCGCCGTAAGTTGATCGTGTCATACCTACCTACGGATTTCTCATCACGCACATAACAGCTGTGCCAGCCAGCCAGATATGGTATTGTGGAGTTTTTGTACTTGGTGGTCCTAGCATATAGCCAGCCAGCCAGCCTCCTATAGCTGCTTCTAGTTCTACCAGATGAAATGCAAGGAGACAGCTGCGTATAGAGAGGATGCTCGCCTCGGGGTCTGACAATATTGTATTCGCTAGTTTCTTACATGACATTATATGTCTATCCACAATGGTGTTAACCAGTTAGTTGGTTTAACGATATCCCACTTGCCCTCCCTACTGACGGCTTTTAGTGCCTCTCCTTCTCAGCAAAACAAAGTCTTTCTTTATTGAGTAGTCAAGGAAAGATTAATGGGGAGCAGTAAAGGGGGATGGGTAGAATACGAGAATTGACAAACTGAGAGAGCAACGACTGCTTGCTTTATACCAGACTGACTAAATTTCCTAATGTAGACCGTTAAGTGAAACATCTTTCTAGTAACTAGAAAGATGTGGGAGGACCAGGAAAGATCGGAAGAAAAACTCAGCCCAAGGTATGTGACATTAGACGTATTTTCAAGCTCTATGCCGTCAATGATAGTGGGGCCATGTGAGCTAACTAGTTGTTGTAGGTCACGTTTACGTCTGAAAGTGAAATTGACTACTTGACATTTAGCTCAAAACGTGGTTATCATCAGTAAATATTACTTACTGTACAACACCACTGTGTTGCTTTATCAAAATAAAATTTTATCCATAACCGTCCATCTTGTCTTGGTTGATGATGACGAGTATTGAAGTCAAGGATGTGTTATCCTTAAAAAAGTGTGCCGACATCTTGTGTTCCCCGCTAACTGACATTTTCAGCGAATCGTTTTCCGAAAGTATTATACCTGAATCATGGAAAAATATCAAAATCGTTCCAGTGCCTAAATCAACAAGTGGACCTAATGTTAAGTTTAGACCCATTGCAATTACCTCACCTTTTTTGAAAGTTATGGAAAGACTTATTTTACTTAATCTTGATCCCTATTTAAAGCCTTTCAACGACCCCAACCAGTTTGCTTATAAACATAGTAGGTGTACGTTAGATGCCGCTGTTGTCCTACATCATAGTATAGTCTCTAGTTTAGATAAAGGAGCTAAATACGTTCGCTGTGCCTTCCTTGATTTACACATCTGCATTTGACTCAGTTACCAGGTCTCTCTAGCTAAGTGGGCTTGCTGCAGCACAGGCTGAGAGCCGGACAAATAGGTGGTTGCATTCCTATTTTTTTGATAGGAAGCAGTACACCACCTACAATGGAAAGTCCTCCACTACCTCACTTACTTCAGCTGGTGTTCCTCAAAGTGCTGTTCTTTCTCCTCTTCTGTTTTCGTTTTTCTTACATGACTAGCCTCATTCTGATGTAGCCACTTTTGTTAAGTATCCCGATGACCTCTCTGTTTCTGTGCCTGCCAACTCTCAGTCAGATTGTTCCAAATCAAATAACTTTCTGTCGGAAATTAGTCAGTGGTCCTCTTCGAACGGTCTTAAGCTGAATCCGCCAAAATGTCAAGTAGTCAATTTCACTTTCAGACGTAAACGTGACCTACAACAACTAGCTAGTTAGCTCACATGGCCCCACTATCATTGACGGCATAGAGCTTGAAATTACATCTAATTTCAAATACCTTGGGCTGAGTTTTTCTTCCGATCTTTCCTGGTCCTCCCACATCTTTCTAGTTACTAGAAAGATGTTTCACTTAACGGTCTACATTAGGAAATTTAGTCAGTCTGGTATAAAGCAAGCAGTCGTTGCTCTCTCAGTTTGTCAATTCTTGTATTCTACCCATCCCCCTTTACTGCTCCCCATTAATCTTTCCTGGACTACTTAGTAAAGAAAGACTTTGCTTTGCTGAGAAGGACAGGCACTAAAAGCCGTTAGTAGGGAGGGCAAGTGGGATATCGTTAAACCAACTAACTGGTTAACACCATTGTGGATAGACATATAATGTCATGTAAGAAACTAGCGAATACAATATTGTCAGACCCCGAGGCGAGCATCCTCTCTATACGCAGCTGTCTCCTTGCATTTCATCTGGTAGAACTAGAAGCAGCTATAGGAGGCTGGCTGGCTGGCTATATGCTAGGACCACCAAGTACAAAAACTCCACAATACCATATCTGGCTGGCTGGCACAGCTGTTATGTGCGTGATGAGAAATCCGTAGGTAGGTATGACACGATCAACTTACGGCGGAACTCTAACAAATAGTCCCATCCATCAGTTTTTGTTTTCCTTTCTTCGTTACTATTACACTGTTGCTCTGATCTTCTATTACACACCAATTTTATATTTCATATCCTGTGGTGCATTGTTTGAAATGTAAACGCAACGCTGTCCTTTTTGTTTATTTATTTATTTACTTTATTTATCTTCTTTTTTGGGGTGTTGCTTTTTGACTTTAAAATCTTATAAAGTTTATGAGGTAATTGGATGCAATATATTGTAATGCACGCTGAAAATTCCATACCTGTATCACCAAAACTGTTTGGAATAAATCTGTTATTATTATTATTTGGAGCCCACAGTCTCACGGGGATCAAGGATTCCCGTTCATGATAAATAGTCACCTGGGAATGTAAATTAACTGAAATACAAATTACACCCTCCGTTTTGTCTTCTTGTATCACTAGCCTGTGGTACTGTCGCTGTTTTTCTGGGGATTAACTTTGTGATCAGCGAATAGTCTAGTTCTCGTTAACGAATTAGGTTCATATTGCTTGCAGTCTGTTAGATCGTATTAGTGGTCACGTCAAATATAGGACAGCGGGAGTGGGATTGTCATGGTATATAACAAATTTGAATGCTGTACTCATTAACCCAAATGAGTAGAGTTGAAACTTATCAGTATTATCTCTGCCTATTTATAAAGATTAGGTATTCTCTTTTCGTAACGAACAACGCTGAATAATGAGTGTCTAATTCCTGCATTTATTGGAAGCTTTCTGTAGAAGCATATTTGAAATTGATGTCATCAGATTATGCGGGTTAAAGTGTTTATTTTTGCAGACTATAGTGAGGTGGTGACACGCTACTTTTTCAAAAAATGTCTTTTGGATAAAAAATTAACGGAATTAGAACGTTTTACACTACTCGTGCACCAGATTTAATATAAAAGTGAGTATTTTATGACTGATTTATATCAGGGAGTAGTGGACTGTTGTTTCGTCCTGGTTTGAGACTCTTCATCAGCGCTGACTCACCGGTGTGGGCTCGCATAGCATTCAGCCACTGGGACCCGACTCACTAACCAGTCCATGAATTTTTACTTCTATCAATTAGTATTTTTAGCGTAAACACAGGCCATTGTCATCGGAGGGAACTCCATCCCTAATCCTGACTGGATGGATCTCACTAGTCACGAATTTTCACTAGAATTACAAACAACTTTGTTCTGTAACCGGTCACTAGTGGGCATCAGATTAGTTTTCAAGAGTTCATCTGTTGGTATTTGATCGATGTCAGCTATTTTTTAAGATTTGGAGAGAATCATTGTAAACCAGGTTCTACTAGATGTCTGTTTCATCCTAAACTGAGACACTTCATCAATCTGTGGTCAAACTCGAATAAACAAATCAAATCCTTACAAATCAACTCTTAAAGATTAATCTGATAATGGTCGCCAGTGATTGCCCCCCTGAAGTCTTAGTAAGAAGTCGTAACCAGCGAGGTCCATCCAGTGAGGATGGATTTTCCGCTAAAATCACGAATTGGTTGAAGTTAGAATCCATAAACTGGCTATTGAATCGGATCTCAGTGGTTGAATGGTATACTGGCTTGTCTTGTAACCGGTAGGTCCTGAGTTCGAAACCCAGTAGGTGAGTACAGATTTATATACAACGTAGAGTTAATATAAATGTTATAAAATTATTCTATATGTATGTATATACTGTAACGAAATTTCATTTTCCTTATTTAATAATTTGAATACATTTAGAGAGAAGAAGACAGAAGCTACGAAATTATTTACAGATGATGGAAGACCGTTGAATGTTAACAAAGCGAAGTAAGACTGAACTTTTAGTTGAACTCTTTGCATATATTATTAACGTAATTATTCCCTTGGATTCCGAGTGTAAAATACAGAATTTCAGAACCAGCAAACTGACATTCTATTATGTTTTCTACAGGTTATCTACAAGCTTTCATTTCCTCCTCAAATGGTCCTCATGTTACCCTCTTACCATGCCTAGATGGTGGCCTCCCAGTGGAGTTCTCCTCAAGACTGTCAATTCTCTGAAGCATATTTAGTCAATGACTTGGGATTAGGGATAGAAAAACATTGTGATCTTTTTTCCTGTGCAGAATGCACATTAAATAAAACCCCTCATCTGGTATAAGTCGCTAAGTTAGTACGATACCATTCGGTCATTGAATTGTTCCAGTAGACTATATTTTACATATATTTTGCTAATTCGTCAAAAAAGCACTGTGTCAGTTTACTATCGTCAGTGTTGACTGTTATCACCGTTAAGTTTTGACATCTACCGGTCAACAGCTCTCTATTGGATGTCACAATTCATACTGAATTAAATTTACAGTCGCTCTTTACAGACAGACAGACAGACAGATGAAGAAACACACTTATACAACGCATATCTGTGTCTCAAAGTCTGTCAGAACGCTGTTAGTCAAATCAGATGACTTTTAAATTGTATTGATTATATTTCACTGACCGGTTGGTGTACACATTTGACGTGTTCTCTTTGAACTATTAGATACAGTGAAGAAGATATGTAGCTTAGGTGGATGATTTCAGTGCAGCTGTGTTCCATGATTTACTTATCTTATTTTACTGAAGATACCCAAACTCCAAGGACGTAACAGTTGTCGAGTACTTTATGGGTTTCCAACGGTTCTCTAACACAGTATAGTTATCACTGAGGGTGATTTTGAACTATGTCACCCACGATCTCTGAGGATTGGTTCTTAGAGTCTTCAGAGATACAATAAAGCCAGTCTACACCTCCCTAAGTGGCTAAAACCAATAGGCGATACTCTGCAAATTGATACCAGGTCTTGATTTCTCTGTCCCTACCCCTGTTTTTCAACCCAATCACGTATTGTATAACATTGTTTTTCGGGAAAGTGATGGCTTGGTATGTGCAAACCCATACCTTAGATATTCACATAAACTCATTGATTGGCTTTCCATTCTTACCTAATACTATACATGTGATCACATTATTGCCAACCATATAGGGGCGTCTGGTATGTTCTCGGTAAAGCTACCATCTAATAGGGTGATATCTTTTCATTGGTGTTTTTGGGATTATAAATATTATCTTTTTCTTGGTACTTTTAAGTTCATTTTGGTATTTTTAGTTTGAGCGAACCTCAAATTTCTGTCACACCTGATTTCTCTGGAGAATTCAACTGGATAAGATAATCAAGAATGAGGATCACTTATTATGTGTTATTATCATTTTTTATTCATTGAAACAAAGTCTAATGCAAAACACCTCGGATTAGTTCTATCTTCCGAACTTACTTGGTCATCTCATATCCAAATGATTTCTAAGGAAGTGTTTCGTCTAACCTACTACATTAAGAGACTCAGACTAACTGGAATCACTCAACCTCTGCCTTCCCAATTTTTCAACTCTCGTATGTCACTTATTCTACTTTACTGCTCCCCTTAAGTCTTTACTGGGCTACTGAAAAATGACTGACTATAATATCCTGAGAAGGATGTTGAAGGTAGTTAGTAGGACTAATGGTGTAAAACTCAGTCAGCTCGTCACAACATTAGTGGATAAGCATCTGAATACATGCGAGAAATGGTCTAAAACCATACTCTGTGACCCCTAACACCCCCTCTATTCCCAACTCTCTACTTGCATCTCATCAGGTAGAACCAGAAATCAGTACAAAATAATATATGCTCGTACAAACAAGTATAGGAACTCGACGATACCATATTTGGCCCGTGTTCTAAGTGACAGAGACAATGTTAGGCGCGGAACCTATGACTTGCTTTGTTGTTAATAACATAATTTTGGCCCTTGTTATTTCCCCCTTATCCTCTCTTATTTGTACTCTATAGTGAACAACCTTCTTAAACATACTTAGCTGCCTAAAATTAATTATCATTGGCTTACTTTTTTTGTACTTTGTTATATTCCTTCTTTTGTGTATCTACTGGTCCCAACTATATTATCACTATGATTATTACAAAATTGTCCTGTCATTAACCATCATGTAATATTAGTTTTGTGGTTGTTCTTTGTTCGGCACTATCTAACTGCTAATCTTGGTTGTGAACGCCACTATCACCATCTTAAAAATTTTATATTATGCAGGTTTACTCACACTACCACAACAAACACTGCATTAGTGCTGACAATAAAAATAAAAAACCCTGAAATGTTTATTTTATGATTGTTTAGTGTAGTTCGATCAAATTAACTGATCATCTTGGCTATAAACATTCTTAAGAACATCTCATAATTTTTTGTATGATTATAGCTGTCACTGTTCACCACGCATACACATATCATAGCTTCCACTACCAAATACTGAAATATTTTTTTCATTATTGGTGTTTATCTTCCTTTCTACTTGGTATTTTTATTTGCATTTTTTTGTTATTTCTGTGTTTCTTTTTGGTTTTTTTTTGTTGTGTTTTTTTTATATATTTTATTTTTTTCATAATACTCCTTTTAAATGTACGATGAAATTAGATGCAATATTGTAGATATGTGCTGAAAATTCCACACTGTACCACTAGTACTGTTTCTGGAATAAAAGCGAAATTGTTATGTTATGTGTTCTGAGCGGAATATTAGGCTTCAGTAGCGAATATCTACTCCACTCAGTTCTTCGCTATCACTTTTCATCTGCTTGAATAAGTACTCACACTGGATGTTTTTTTTCTCTTTGACATGATCCTCTCTATGTCACCCTAGGACACCCAACTCATCACTTCCAATTCAGTTTTCACTCAACTGTCTCAAAGGTGTGTGATGTGATTGAACATTCTGCTCAAAGTATATAGCATCTCTCTAGTATAGATATAATAGAGAAGATTTGTAGCTCAGGTGGATGATTTTGATGTGGTTTTGTTCTCTGAGCTGGATGGTTAGTTTGTGAAGCTTTCATCACCCTACTGGGTGACATCTTCAGCGCATACTTCTTCATACTTCAAAATGAAGTATGCGCTGAAGATGTCACCCAGTAGGGTGATGAAAGCTTCGCAAACTAACCATCCAGCTCAGAGGACAAAACCAAATCAAAATCTCTTTAGTATACTTCAGTTGAAATATCCTTAAGTTCAGTTATTACTTCAATAATTTGTTGTTTTTATATATATATTTCCATGAGCTAATTTTTCATTTTTCATTTAAATTGTCAATTAATTATTTGGAAATAATTCTAAATAATAACTAATTTAACCAATCAATATACTAGAATTGGATTCCAGTTAACGGAGGATACAATAAACGATCAAGATGTCTACATACTTAATGTTGCTGTCTATAAGTAAGCACTTTATTGAGTTTAATTTACGCTATTCTGTATTGTATTGTATTCACTCTTTATCACTAATTAATTCTTAAGAAATTCCTTATTCCAAAATGTCACTTTGAGGATAGTGTAGTGTGTAGTCCTCAGCACAGAGTACAATATTGAATTTAGTTGTGTAGTGAGGAGGAGAATAATTAACACAAACATCTTTACTTTTGATTTGACACTAGTTAGTAAGAAGTAGGATATGTCTAGTCCTCTGTTTGGTGTCGACTGAATTCTATCAGTCACATTTGTAATGTGACCAGCATTCTAGGGTAGTTCGCCATCACAATGCACTTTGAGTTGTTGGTATTAGATTGTTGAAGGCGATCTTCAGGCAGCCTTACTTGACCTAGGTTTCGTGCTAGCTGACATTTACCAGTCAGTTGACAAGGCGTATCTGCAACCTTGAAGGAACTGCAGTTCTGATATGTATCCATATATATATATATGTGTATGGTGGTCTCTCTTTCTGTTTGCTCGCTTAGTCTGTGATCATTTCACATGGATGAACCTGTCTCCTTTAACAATTTATATTCCCCTTATATTATATTATATATAATATGAGTGTTTGTTGACAGTCCGTTGCTTGGTGGTGACATATATCCATATTATATGTGTGGTTGTTGACATGTCTGCTATATTTTGCTATGTATATATAGATCGACACTCCATTATAATTAGCCATTCATGTTAAGACTGTCTAGTGATTTGTTCACACACTTGTCTGGACATTCATATATATTTCGCTCACACAATATTGTGTGACACTACTTTTGGTGTGATACCACTTATTGTTTCTCCTTGTGTTTGGAAAATAGAAGTATCATCGCAAACCTAGTGGTCTTCTGATTTCCGCCTTCTCGCGTCAGGACTATTAAATTCTCGACTAGTACATAACAATAATTTGGAGGCGAGCAACATAACAATTTGGTGACGAGTACATAACAATTTGGCGACGGGGAAAACTACTGTTAACCACTCAGCAGCAGCAACATAACAAGTTCCTTCTGAGATTCAAATCCACATTACCCAGTGACACCTACAGTCAAAAACGTAATCAACTGAGCTATTCAGGCTCTTGATCGAACTCCTGTGGGACTAAGTTTATTGTATATTTTCGATTGGACACTAGTCAGTGACTAGTGTTATATGTCCAGTCCTCTGTTTGGTGCGAACCCATGGGTTCGAATCTCAGAAGGGATATGAGTTCCTTCAAGGTTGTAGATGTGCCTTGTTGGCGAGTGCCAGCTGGCGCAAAATCTAGGTCCAAGGCTTTCTTGCCGATTGCCTCTAACAGAAACATTTGCATTAATAATAATTTCAATAAAAAAAATATAAATGTAGAAATTAATAGAATTTGTGACAACAATATGATAATAATAATAGGAGGAATAAATCGAGCCGTTTGTTTAGGCTTTCGCAGAGAGTGTTAATACTTTCGTGGCTAACCCTTTTCTCATCATATCAAATGAGTGTTAAATAAGGTATCGTTAAATTTTTGTATTTAGTCATATGAGCCCGGATTCTTTGACAATTCCTTCTAGTCCTATCTGATGAGATGTATGAAGAGAGCTCTGAGCAAAGATGGGTGCTAAGGATCCGACAAGATGATGTTATCCATTTCTTACATGAGTCACCAACAATATTAGTCAGTTGACTTAACAAAACACCACTTGCCCACTGACAGATTCTAGTGCCCTCCCCATAAAATAGTCTTTTTCAAGTAGCCCAGAAAAGATTGAATAGGACGGGAAAGGGAAGCGTTAAAAAAGAATAGGTAAGATTCAGAAATTTAAAAAATACAATAGTAGAGATTGATTGATACAAGAATATTTTTCAAGTATTGGTTTGTAAGGATTTGATTGTTTAGTTACAGGCTTTCATCATGAGCTGACACATTGGTTAGAGGACCTCCCATAGAGTACTAGAAAGCTGTATCGTCAGCCTTGTTTGGGACTCTTCAGCAGTACTCGTCCATAACGCAGGGTTTTAACCCAGGACCTTCTAGTTACAAGACTAGTGAGCTCATAGACGATTTAGCCACTGCCACTCAACTTAGTGGCCAACCCATGAATTCCAACTTCTGCCAATCCACGAAATAGCGCAACCACTAGCCAGTGTCAACCATGGCGAGTATTTCTCCTTGCACCCAATATGCTGCACCCAACTGGTCATGACTTCCCACTAGAACCCCTTGGTAACTACCTACTTGTCTTAACTTCCTTTAATAGATAATTAGACGAATAATCTTTCTGGAAATTAACGTGATACCGGATGATCAAGAAGGATCAGAGGAAATATGCAGTCCAAAGTATTGAATATTCGACTTAGTTTCAGCTTCACTGCCTTCTACGAAGCAAGAATCATAAAAAATGAACCAGTTCATGTTAATCACTCAGGTATCTGAAAGTTAAATTAATAGTCTGACATATGGAGAGATTTAGTTTAAGACTGCTGATTAATTTCTGGTTAAAAAGACTATTAAGTACAGCATAGTTTGACTGAAATGTGCCTGGCATGGAAAACAGTCGAATCATCGGAATATTTAACAAAACGTGCTTCATCAGAATGAAGCATGTCAAATGAGAAGAAAGAAAACAGAAAGGGAGAAAGAAACAGCACCTTGAGGAAAATCAGCTAGAGTAAATAAAGCAGTGGAATACTTTCCATTATTTACAGTGTACTGTTTCTGATCAGGAAAATAAGTGTGGAACCATTTATCAACTCAGAGCCCAGTTCGCATCACTGCAAGCTTATTTAACGAAAGAAGCCTGGGCACAGAGTCAGAAGTAGATGTGTTATTCCAGAATTAGGGTGAAGCGAGATTCGAATTCAGGACAGAATAACTGAAAGGCAAATGAGTCAAGTCAATGAACCAAAAATTATTCCTTACGGAATCATGGTGTTTTCAGTTTATTGGAATTATTTTGAATTTACCTTTACTCTGCTGACATCTACTACGTCTGTTGACGTGGTGGCGCGTAGTATGGACGCATCGGAGATGCTATGAGATTATCATGGTATTATTTTGTTGACAGAAGTTAGTTGCGGTATTGAGAACTTATGTTCCTCTCCATTTGGGAAACTTTCTGTTTTTGACCAATGTTCATTGACCTGTCCGATCAAACGCGTTTGCAGCATAGCCACCAGCATGAGAAACTAAGCGTCATCCTGTACTTCCAATAGCTGTAGCTGTGGTTAGAAGCACTTAGGTTTAATCAGTAGTGATCAGTAAACTTCCCTCTTCTGTTTATTCAGGCTAGAAAATAGGTTAGTGGTAAAGTTTAGAAGTACAAGTCTGCTTAAAACAGACCTGAGACTTCAAGTTAGCAGTAGTTGATAGCATCAGCTTCCAAGGTTGCACAAGTGCCCTCTTGGTGACTTCCACTAGGCGTAAAACACTGGCGAAACACCGTGTTAGATTTACCTGAGTACACTTGACTGACAGCAGATTTAAGTGTAAAGAATCTCCTCTGTTCTCTCTATTAAAAATAGTTAACATGGTTTGTATATGATGAGATTTTTTCATTTCCTTGAGTTCTCAATGTAAAATTGGGTTTCGAGCCTGATCTTTGAGTGTCAATAATGGTAGGGTTGATTTTACAGGATGGGGTTGGTAACCTCACTTTCAATTTTCCCTCTTAACTGGACTTATTACTAGCTAAGCGAGTTTTAGGAGTGCATTGAACAAGAGTCGGACACGGATTATGTGAGTGCTTGACATGCACTCTACCAATGAATCACTGACGCATATACACATATACACCGGGTACTCGTGATGAATCTAAAGTCTAAGTGAAATGGATGAAATCGATATGAAAACATGTAGAGAAGGATGAAAATTATGCTTAAAAATATTGGTTACTCATAAGTAATATATGTAGTATATTCGAAAAATGTTGCTTCTGAAGTTATTAACTTGTTTATTTTCTGACTTTCAGTAAAACAAGGATAGTGAATTTCTTGGCATATACTAAAGCCTTTGTATCCGTTTGCATTCCTATTTGCTACGATTCGAAGAATGGATCTTTTCTGAAGTTATTTGGCTGTCTGAGCTAAATCAAACCAAATGCACCGTTGTTAACCTGGGTCTAAACTGAGTGAAACAGGAATAAATTATTTAGATTACTTCAGCGCTGTTGAATTAAGTGTTGTGTAGATGCCCCTACTTATCTGTACTATATGCCATAATGAATCTGGTATTTATATAATCCACTTATCTTTTGTTATTCGAAGGTGTATGGCCTTACTCCGTTTTATTTCCACTATTACACTATGCGAAGTTTCCCTATTATGACTGATCCCATCAAGCTTTTAGTCTGTTCGTAGTTGACAGGTATAAAGCCCCTCAAATAAAGCTTACCCCTTATTTTATGTCTAGTGGCTTCTGGTTGCTTTTCACAGGAGACCACTGAGAAGTGATCATAGCTATGCAGTCAAGTCCTTACTGTTTTTGTTGATTGAATTCTGTCAGCAGAAGTTGCAGTTTTGTCACCAAGCTAGGGAACTCACTATCATAGTACACTCTGAATTCATCTTGGATACTTGGTGGTAATCAGCCAGAATCTCTAGATTTAGATTCATTTTCCCTGTTACTAGTTGACTTCAAATTGTTCGTGATGGAAAGAACTTTTATCCTTACTACTCATTATTGCATATTCTAGTAGTATGTACTTATTTTTTCCATTAATTAAAGAGGTTTTTATTATTGTTTTTGATATATTTTTAATGCACCAATATGTAAGATTGGATGGAATTTTGTTCTCTTTCACTATGGCCCTTCTTGTTATATTTTTTAGGTATATGGATACAGCTTTAATTGACTGTGATATACAAACCAATTATGTTCGTGTTATACTCAATAAAAAGGTATGATAGTTAACAGAGGAGTAACTCAGCGTTTGTTCTGTTTACTACTATCTTTGCATATAAAAACAGTGCTAAGGTTAGAATTATTTTAAAACTAGGTGGTTAAATAATTTCACAGTTATCTAACTATTATTACTGTTCCAATGGGTTCCAAGTGGAACATAGGGTTTCAATAACACATCTCAATTTCATCCTGTTCTTCGAATTCTCTATTCTAACTGATTCCACGATTGTCCACTTTCTCTTCATATCATCCCCCACTTCTTTGTTGGACCCACACACAAATCATTCCCTCTCAATGTCCCTTCACTCGAAGGCCTTGCTGGCATGTGATGTCCTTTCAAAGTCTCCTATGAGTACATCCAATCAATCTCCATTTCTTTCTGCATGTTTCGTAGGCAATAAGTTCTTGATTGGTTCTCTGCCCTCCCCCAGACGTCTGGTCTTCAGTATTCAATGAAGAGGGTAGCTGTTGATGAAAGTCTTTAGTGGCCTGTTGGAGGTGCTTTTGCTGACACATCAAGTCTCTGAACCATAGAGAAATAGTGATTTGACATAGGTGTTTTTCTCTATGCTGAGTATAGCAGATTTACAGATGTCTATAATGTGTCTGTACTATAAATACAATCCAGTAAATATCATGTAACCAGTTTTCCTTTTACAGGCTATTTAATAATGATAGTTCATACTACTTGTGGGTTTTCGTCTAGTTATCTTTGATTGGTTGTCCCAGTATATTTCCTTATAATCGTCTCACCGATCCGATATTTGACCTTGTAGTCATGTTATAATGGCAGAATACGGTACAGGACGGGAGTGCGACAAGGCTGTCTACTATCACCAATGATCTTCCTGATTGCAACTGATTGGATAATGCGACAGACAACGGCAACCAACAAGGGAACAGGCATAAAATGGAATGACACAAAAGACTTGGAGGATCTGGACTTCGCCGATGATATATGTCTGATTTCCCACAAACTGAAAGATATGCAAGTGAAAAGCAACAAGCTGGCGGTAGAAGAAGCATCAAAGATAGGACTTCACGTGAACATAGATAAAACAGATTCTTGGCCAACACCAACAGCAACAACAACAATCAGCATAAATGGCAGGAACCTGAAAGAAACAACCTCCTTCACCTACCTGGGAAGCATCGTTCCAACTACAGGCGGATGGAACTGACGAGGATATCAAAGCCAGAATCGGAAAAGCAAGACAAACTCTCATTACTCTCAAATCTGTGTGGAGGTCAACAGCACTCAGCATCAAAAATAAGATCCGGATCTTCAACTCCAATGTAAAGTCAGTGCTACTATACGGATCAGAGACTTGGCCAGCGAGTCATAAAGAGCATCTCAAACAAACTTCAGACCTTCATTAACAGCTGTCTTCGCTCAATACTCAAGATCAGATAGCCAGAAAAGATCAGCAACAGGGATCTCTGGGAGCGAACCAATCAGGAACCGATTGTGAAACAAATAGGCAGGAAGAAATGGAGATGGATTGGCTGGCCATACGCTAAGGAAACCATCAAGTGACATCACTAGACAAGCCCTCGAGTGGAACCCGAAAGGGAGGCGGAGAGTTGGTCGTCAGTGCAAGGGTGACTTGGAGGAGGTCATGCGAAGAGGAGATGAAAGCATGTGGACAGACCTGGAGCAGGGTGAAAAAGTTGTCAGAAGACAGAAGGCAATGGAGGTGCGCGGCTGAAGCCCTATGTTCCTCTAGGAACTAAAGGATAAAATAATAATAATAATACAGTAGTATTTGGTAGTAGCATTATTTATCTGGTAAATGTGATGTACAAATACGGCAACTTATGGATATCCTAAATTTAATTCTCCAGTTGCACATGTTCTTCGTACTTCACTTCTTTTGCCTTTCTTTCATGATTTCTGCATATGGTTTCCCAGGGACCCGTTTTCATTCTTTTATTCCTAACTGCTATATGCTATGCTCTTGCATGAGACAAAACGAACTACATACTACTTACAAAATATTTGTCAATTATACACCAAAGTAAGAATTTTTCATTTATTCAGTCAATTTTATCAATATCAACATATCTGCCAAGCTAAGAATTGATGTGAGTTCCAGGCCCTCAGGGATTCTCTGGAATTCTTATTCTCTCTGTATAAGATTTTCACATTTTCTGTCCAATTAAGTTGATGTCTGTCATTGTGAAGATGAAGAGAGCGTTTCATTTAACCAGCATAGTATTTTACGTGGTTAATGCAATTTATTTTGGAGATGACATTAGTTTTGCCCTCCTTCTACTGATGGATCTTTTGTCTTATATATGTGTGCGTCGACGGCACAGCGTTTAGGACTCTCGCCGACCATGCACATGGTCCGGAGTTCGATCCCCTGCCGACGTACACCCGATTTCAATGGTCGACCTGCAAAATTTGGGCTACCGATATCACATGTTAAAAATTCCATACATGTACCAAAAATACGGTGTGGAGTCAAGCTTTAATAAAAAAGGTTTATGTAGTTTATGAGCTGACATTGGTTAAAGAACCATTAGAAAACCTCTAAGTATAGGACTGCTGTTTCGTCCTAGTTTGGGACTCTTCATCAGTACGCACCCTCCGGGGTTTGAATTCAGGACCTTCTGGTAACAAGGCTAGCGAGCTCGTTGACCATTCATCAACCCCTGGGACACGATCCAATGGCCCATGTGTTCTAACTTTTACCAATTCATGACATAGCGCGACTTCTAGCCAATGTTTTCGGGAAATATCTGTCCTCATACCCGACCTGCTGCGCCCTACTGGTCTTGACTTCTCACTAGGTAACTACCTACCTAATAGTGAAAGTGGCTAGTGAACATCTCATCGATATTTCAGAGGTGTTCTTCATATATGGTAAGACGATTTACTCTGTCCCCATTATGAATGGTTTTCAGTCAGTGAGTTTGGTTGAGGGTTGGCATATATTTTGATGAATTTTCATGGATGTCTGCTTTTATGAAAGGCGGCTACGTGTCGAGTATCGACAGAAGTTAGGGTGGATAGGCTATTGGATTCCGTCTAAATGGGGCTGAATGGTTAGTAGCCTTGCCTCGCAACTTGAAGGTCTTCTGTGGTCAGTACTGTCTAGTTTTCACTGGCTGTCTGACCATAGTCAGTTCATGATCTGCTCTGGAACTAGTTAAATGCCTTTTCTTGTTTTGAATTTGTTTTCTTTTTTCTAATTCAGATTTTACAACTGGCTTTACCAGAAGAAGTTAGTCCGGATAATTCGTCTATTAAGCGTTCACAGACAACTGGACATTTGTTAATCACTATGCCAAAGGTAATGACATTCAAAAGTTTAACTTTCGATTATTATTATTGTTGTTATCATCATCACCATTGATTCGATGTTGAAGGCCATTTGGTAGGTAGAAAATCATTCTTTAAATAAATTTATTATTTGTTTTTTGCGCTTACTTTTAAATTTGAATTCAGGGCTAGAATCATCAGTTGATTTGCAGCGTCATAACTAATTAGAATACAGAGAGGAGAAATAACCACTTCCTCATAACGATTAGATAACAGCGTCTGGTTTTCTAATAAATTTTGGATCTAAGATTAGAATTTACAATTACAATGGTAATAAAAATCAAAGTACAAATAAAAATCATGTTTACAGTTTTCTGTTGTCATCGGTAAAGAGTGATATTAATATAAGTGTACAACTTGGACACTGTGGTGGTAATAGAATGCTATTCCGTATTACATAAGTTTATTTTAATAATCACGCACAGTGATTTAAATGCAGTATTAACAACTGGATGGATGACAAGGTGGTTTCGAGCATAAATGATTACTGCTCATAATCATATCAATTTTAGTCACACGGTTTCGCGATTTGTCTTATGTTATATTTTCTCCCTTTCTGTTTCTCCAACTTCTCTTTGGTGTTTATTGCCACTTTCCATATCTCCGGTATAGGCTATGCGTTGCGTTGTGTCGCGTCATTTCGATTGCACGTGTGTGTGGTGTTGAATCGATAAACAGATATTCAGCGATTAACCTCACTCTCTCTCTCTCTGTCTCCACCTGACTGTATTACTTTTTAATACTCTCAACCTGTCCCACTCACCCTATTTTGTGATCACATGCAAGTGAATGCAATGCTTTGGTTGAGCTTTTTTTCCAGGTTATTTAACTTAACGGGACAAATAATTTTAGTTCATGGAAGATTCCCATTGTAACATATAGAAAATCAAAACAAGTGATGATTCAGCGAAGAGACTCCCTCCAACAACGAATTTATCATCAAGCTGTACAATCGTATATATATGTTGGTTTTTAAGAAGTTATATCCGGTGAAGGAAGTGAATCATAGGTGTAAATGCATAAAATAATAATAATAGTATGAAATACAATTGAAACTAAAGTGTTTGTGATTATAATCATAGTTAAATGTCAAGTGACAAAGCAAATTAATGTCATACATAGAATAATTCATAGGATGGATAGAACTTGAAAAAGGATGTGCAATTATAGGATTAGTAGACAAATCGAATAAAACAAAATCGTTACGTAATATTGTGTGAAATTTAATAGCACAGAATTTATCGTTGTAAAAAACAATTGATTTAGAATGACAAGTGGAACAAGTGAAATAATACCGGGGACAGTTCAAAGTGAGAATAGTAATAGTAACAATTGACGTAATAAAGGAAGAGAATACAAATTGAATAGACAAAATGAAAAATTGGTAGAGCTAAAATATGATTGGGGATTACCATATTTTAGCATAGAGGGATTAAGACCATGAAAGTTGGGGAGGTTGAACGAACTTTTTCTGTACACAGAGATCTGGCTTTTCTGTTTCGATAAGCAAAGCTTCAGAAATAAAGATGAGTCGGGTACGCAAGGATTTGGGTAAATTACTCTTTGCTTTGTAGATGACTTTAAAGGCGGAGGCTATAGAGATAGGGTGATCATCATCGACCAGATGTTCAATGATCGCGCTTCTTATTGGTCCACTTCCCCCTTTTCGTAACCATGCAGGATAGTGTTGTTGCACCCTTTTGGATAGAACTCGAGTCGAACGACCGATATACCTAGCTCCACACGAGTAGGTGAATTGATAAACACACATAGAGTTAATATCAGTAAAAAGTTTGAGCATTGTGGATTAGATCAAATAAAGTAAAATAAAAGAAAGTAAATAAAGCAGAAAAAGCGAATAAAACAATCCCAACAGTTGGTGGTGTGAACACGGACAGTAATTTTGCTCGAAATATTACCAATAACAAAACTTATCATTGTGTGTAAACTATTAAAATATAATTATACTTTATTTGACACATAGAGTTGGTCAACTGAGGGGGGATCTTGTCCTTCAGGTTATTGAACAGTAATGGTCAACTAGTAAAGGCTATTCTCAGAGATGCAGCAGGGAATGTTCTTTTCAGGGACTGTGGTATCCTTCGTTTCTTGATATCGGAAGCTAAGCCCCCTTTGAATTCCAAGCTCATGTAAAGCATTTTCTAGGGTACGATTGATAAGTCACGTTTTATAGGATTTGAATGTATATTCTTATCTATAAAACGTGGTGGAAATCCATTTTCAATTAAGATTTTCCTCAATAGGTATAACTCATCTTCCACAGTATCAGGGCTACATATGCGCCGAATACGAGTGGCAAGCGACCGGACCAGGTTTCGTTTTCGACCAATAGGTACCCAGCTGTAGAAATCTATCAGTTGACCATTCCATGACAGCTTACGACAAATAGATCTTTTCAGAATTCCATCGGTCCTCCTTGATAAGTTCACATCGAGGAAATGAATACTAGACTCGTTCTCCATTTCGAGTGTGAATTTTATCGCAGGATGGCAAACATTAAATACATTTAATATATTATTCAAGTTACAGCCACTATTACAAATAATAAAGGTGTCATCTACATACCTTTTATACATTTGAAAGCTTTGGATTATAGGCTTCAGCTGACCATTTACTAGACTGGACATAAAAGAGTCTCTTCGCTGAATCACTTGTTTTGATTTTCTAAATCATTTTAGGTCTAGCTAAAGTTTTATGTACCAATAATCTAGTTGACCCGATCTACTAGTTTGAGCTATGTAAGTGACCTCACAGTTGTTAAGTAGTACTTGGTAAATTACGTCACTTTTCTTAGTTAGATCTATTGGGTCTTAAAGACAACAAAATGTATCTCTGAGAGAATTGTTTAGTTAAGATGTCACCATAATTCCAGAATCACTGAGAATTCTACGTATGCCTCTGACGTTCCTTCTTTATGCGGCCTTACTACAGAGGCTTTGAATTCTATATTATTTTCGTCACTTTTATTGCTAATCTTCGTTCTTATATGGTTCTTCATATATTTTTGAATAAATTATGGGAGAGGGTAGTTATTCATTAGTAATACTCCCTTTATTTGTTTGATTTCGTTATTTAAATCTTTTGGTTTACTAGTTAAGCTTTTGGCCTGATTATCCAAACATTTAACTGGACCTATCGTCACCGATTCTTGATGGGATGAATTAAAGTTTAATAATTTGTCAGAGTGTGTTGGTTTCCTATCAATCTAACCCACCGTCTCGTTTTCGATTTATTCTACAGTCTAGCAAACGAAAGTTAGAGAAACAGAAAGGGAGAAAATATAACATAAGACAAATTGTGAAGCTGTGTGACTAAAATTGATATGATTATGAGCAGTAATCATTTATGCTCGAAACCACCTTGTCATCCATCCACTTGTTAATACTACATCTGCATCACTGTGTGACATAATTAAAATAAACTCCTCTATTATGCAGGAGTAATATTCGAGGTGAGAAGTAAAGACCATGGTAAAGAAAGTGACCGGAGAAAGTTCTTTGAATACATAGATTAGGTTGAAATTTTCGCTGGTAATTTCCGTAGCTACGCTTAGCATTTGAAGGCGTTTAAAGCCGAAGAATCGACGAGTTACCTTGCATAGAACAAAAGCTTGTGTTTTGTTTCCATTTAGTGACCCATTGTGGAACTCTTAGTCGACCTAATTCTTCCTTTTCCTAATGATATTTGACAATATTAAAGTGGAAAACGTTAGGATTGTCAAGGTGTTGTTCTCCTTATATAAATGACTCTACAAAAGCAGTTAAATATATAGATGCACACTTAGGTATTCAGACACGGTGGCGTATCTTCCAAGAGCATTAGAATTATACAATAAGTGTTTCACGCCAAAACAATCTTGTTTAAATTCACTATTTGAGTTACCAAGGCCTACTATCACTATTATCAACACCATTGAACAAATTTACTGAAAAATGATGTCTGTTAAAATATAATTTTTATGTTTCAGGTTACAATCTTTCAAACAGAAAATACGCTTTCCCTTAAAGACGCTGTACATTAGTTGATTAATCAATAAAAAGACAATTCAGCGAAGAAAATTTTTCGTTATGGACGAAATCATCTTCAGAGCCTGTACAGTCGTATTTATATTTACCAAAAATGTGTAGTAGACTATCACTGAGTAATAGGGGGTGGGTGACATAATTGATATAATTACTCGGAAGTGGCTTCAAAAGTAAAAAAAATAAGACTTGTAAATTACGTAATACTCAACAGCACAGAGGAAGAAAGCGTTAGAAATTCGATAAAGTTAAAATTACTGTTGAGTGAGAGTAAAGGTGGTAATTGAGTGTGTCCATCTAAGAATTGTGAAGACAGGGTAAGAAAATGTACAAAAGGAACATGTGCAAGTGATAGTAGTGAATTAATTGATGAAGTAAAAGCAAAGTTATCACTAAGAATAAAAAACTTACAGGAAACGACCAATGAAGAGAATAAGAGTTTAGGGTTGTAATGGTGAATCGCCAACGCCTCCGCCATACACAAATGCCGAAATCTTTCACCCTTTGTACCACTTGACTACATCTTGTAGATAATCTTGAAAGACGACTCTGGTGGAGCTGAGTTCATCAAGTGCTTGAGAATTAACCTATTAACTGTCTTGCATTGCCTTTTTGCTAACCACGCTGGATAATGTTCAGGAATGAGTTTGGATCAAATTTCTTTTTCTTTTCAAAGAGACCCAACTATGAAAATTCTTGTATTGACCATTCCATGTGGGTTTCCTATTGATTGATCTTTGAAGAGAACTGTTAGATCTCCTTTTTTTAGCAGAAAATCCAAAAAATCTTCATCTCTGATTATGATGTGAACTGGATAGCATGTTAGCAGTTGTTGAATTTCCTGGTTATCATTTCTATGTTTGCATTCTTGTCACATATGATAAAAGAATCATCCATATATTTTCGGTACACACGAAAACTATCGATAGTGTGTCGTGACATATTATTCTCTAGACTTGTTAAGAAGCAGTCTGTGAATAAAGGACCTAATGGCAACCCTATCACCAATCCCTCTCTTTGTCTGTTGGGAGTGTTACTGAACTTGAACTGAACACCGAAGGGGCATCTCAGCAGTAATTCCTTTGGGTAGCAGATAGGGACACCCACGCCCAGCTTACTATCGTCGATAAATTTGCATATAAAGCAAATAGTTTCACTGAGATGAACATTAATTAATAATGCTGTTATGATTACCAACCACTATGGTGATTATTCGTTCGGTTTCCAAATAGTAGAATAGGGCTTCAGCAGCACATCTCCACTTCATCTTATTCCGTGAAGTCCTCTTTAGTCGGCTTCATGATTGGTCATACGCTGTTATCTTCTTCTCACACGATCTTCGCCATTTCACCCTTTGACCTACGCCCAAACTATCGTTTCTTATTTGAGTCCCACTCTAAGTCTTCGCTAGTGTTTGTGATGTTACTCAAGATTGTCTTCAGCGTCTGTCCAATCCATTATATATTAATTTATTTACCTTAAGCTAAATGTTTTAAAAAGTTTTAACATTAATAGGGAGGGGGTGGATATTATAATTTTGATTATGTTTCTTATTATTTATAGGCTTTTCAGGAAATTCGAGTACGCAAAAACAAAGAAACGAAAGCTCAGACGAACACGGAGAAGAAGTGTACTGGCGTATCTAGTTATCGGTACGGAGCATTTGAATTCTGCTTTATCTCTTTACTTTAACCTTTGGAACAGAGGTAGTATTATCAGCAACCCCCTCCGCCCCACGGGACAATAGGTGTTGTAAATAAGAAATGTATTTTGCGTAGCTGAGTTCTAGTAACACGGAGATACCACTTTTAACTATTACTGGAGATTTCATACATTTATTCCCCTTAATGAATTTGAACAAAGCAAGAACTACAGTTTTAGCAGACAATTTCTTCTTTAGGAGATATCTCAAGGCGTTTGTGATACGTTTTTCGACTGCATCTGTCTTATCTTTCTGGCAACTGTCAACTTTAAACCTCAACGGGTCATTTAACACTGCTTTCATCTTTGCGATGTAGTCCTCTTTGTCCATCAGCACCACACCTGAGCCTTTGTCAGGTCTCAATATAACGATTTTGTCATTATTCTTGAGAGCTTTCAATGCTCTTAGATGCTCTTCAGAAAGGACTTTGGAATATGACGTTGAAGAAATGAGGTATTGATATGCAACGTTGACGAGCTTCGATTTGAACCAACTCCTCTTGTCATCATCATCAACTGGAGTGAGGTCACTCAACTGATAGAATAAGTTTTCGAATTGCACTGCGACATCAGTTCTTTCGACAAACTTATTTGGGATGTGAAAGTTAAATCCAAGAGAAAGTGCTTCCATTTCTATGCGATTTAACTTCAGACTCGACAGATTACAGATAAACTCCTCAGGATTTTCTGGGAAAACGTCACACAATTTCTCCTTTGTCAGGGATTTCGAGAGAGTTGTGTAAAATTTTTCACACGTTTTCTGTTGAAGTCCTTGGATGAAATTGATGAATTTGATCCAACATACTATACTCAAACTATTGACGACATCATCGAAAGATCGGGCTTCAGTTCTCAATTTAGAAATCAGAGATTCTGTTGATTCAGTATGTGATTTTGTAATGTGTCGAAGATTCTTGAGAGATGGGGGTAATTTGGAAGGAAGCAATGACTTCATGAGATGACGAGGAAAGCAGTGAGACCGCAAGCAATCAGGGTAAAACTTCAATCGAGTCACCTCTCTTGATATTCTGCAACGAATTGTCACCAAACGATCCAGTGACTTAAAGGATTCTCTGGGGAGGCGTTTTTTCAGAAATTTCATACATTTATTCCCCTTAATGAATTTGAACAAAGCAAGAACTACAGCTAAAACTGTAGTTCTTGCTTTGTTCAAATATTATAGGAGAGTAATATGTGGAAACGATATTGTGAAGCGAATATTCTGCTTAACTGACAATTCATATTGGTTAATATTCAAGTATTGGTTTGTAGGGATTTGGTTGATTGGTTACAGGATTTCATTGGTTGGAGAACCATTGAAAACCTGCAGGGAGTAGTGGACAGTTGTTTCGTCAGTCTAGTTTGGGACTCTTCATCAGTACGCACACACCACCAGGATTCGAACCGAGCACCTTCTGTTTCCAAGGTTAGTGGGCTCGTAGACCATTAAGCCACTGGGACCTAATCTAATGGCCCATGAATTCTAAATTCTTCCAATTCACGACATAGATCAACCGCTAGGCAATAATATTGCTATTGTAACCAGAAGGTCATGGGTTTGAACCCCGGTGTGTGCGTACTGTTGAAGAGTTCCGGACTAGGCTAATGAAATAGCTGTCCAGTACTCCCAAGTTTTCCAATGGTTCTCTAACCAATTTATTTTTATCACAGCTTGATTCCACGCCGTGTTTTTAGGTACAGGTATGGAATTTTCAGTATGTGATATCGGTGGCCCAGATTTTACAGGCCGACCATAGATATCAGGTGTGCGTCGGCAGGGGATCGAATTCCGGAACATTTGCATGAACAGTGAGAGTCCTAACCACTGTGCCACCGACGCACAATGTCAGTTCATGATGAAATCTTGTAATCATATTGGTTAAACTGTCCAGATGACAGTACTAAGTTGATCTTATCTTGTTTTCAATAGTTTCGGTAATTCATTCCTGGTTGGGTAACACATTTGATGATGTCATCAGTTAACGTGATTCATATCATAAACTAACTAGGATCTTATGGCAATCTTTCGAAAATATACTTAGCTAACTAATACTGTTCTGATCATAGCACAATTGTCAAATTTTTGAACTAGTCTGATGGGATACATTTCTGACTGATAGGAGTGGTTGAGAGTCATTAAAGTCTAGTTGTGGTATTACTTGTTAACTAGTTTGAAGTTATCTACCCACTTGCGTCCATTTCGTTAGTTTAGAACGGAGCTCATCAACAATATATCCAGTTTGACTTAGCTCATGGACTCGAATTCTAGCTAGCTATTTGGATGAAACGTTAACTCATTCACCGTCGTATTCAATATTGTAAAAATTACACAGTTGTACGGGAGGATTCACCACAGTTTCCCGTGTAAATCAAAAATATTGAGATCAAAATCTGTGATCTGTTTTATACCATAGTTAACCAAAATATGTGTGGATATTGATATAAGAATAAAACTTGTGCACTGTGTTAGAGTATAATTCCATTATGGGTAAATTTTGTTTTGATAAAGTTTCACAGTGTTATACAGTAATGTTTACTGATGACGTTTCGAGCACAATTTATTGCTCATAATCATATCAAGGTAATCACACGACTTCCTAAATTCATTTATATAGTTCCATTGTTTTTCTCTTGATTTTCACTTGATTTGATTGGTAATAGTATTTTCCATATTTCAGGTATGAGTGACGAGTCATTCCTATTGCATGTGTTGTTGGGTGTAGACTCGATGAACAAGGATTCAGTAATCAACCTCTCTCTCCACCTATCTAGATTACTTTTTAGAATTTTAACCCTCTCCCACCCTATTGTGTGGTTGTGTGTTAGCGAATGCATTGCAGAATACCATGCAATGACTGTGAGGTCAACTACATAGGTCAAACTAGTAGGTCAGGGGTAGTCAGATTGTCAGAGCATAAGAATTTAGCTAAGGTAAGAATGGTTGACCCCGAGAAGATAAGTAATTTAGAAAAAAGCTCAGCAATTGCAATGCATGCGCTAACACACAACCACACAATAGGGTGGGAGAGGGTTAAAATTCTAAAAAGTAATCTAGGTAGGTGGAGAGAGAGAGATAGAGGTTGATTACTGAATCCTTGTTCATCGAGTCTACACCCAACAACACATGCAATAGGAATGACTCGTCACTCATACCTGAAATATGGAAAATACTATTACCAATCAAATCAAGTGAAAATCAAGAGAAAAACAATGAAACTATATAAATGAATTTAGAAAGTCGTGTGATTACCTTGATATGATTATGAGCAATAAATTGTGCTCGAAACGTGGTCATCAGTAAACATTACTGTATGTGTGAATAAATCACAAATTTAAACATGTTCTCACGGATACTTTATACGATATTAATAGAAGTATGTAAATCTATTGACCAATCTAAAAATGTACAAAACCTCGAAATTGATCTTGGGTCAGACTTGTTGAAGAAGATATCTCACAGCCATTAAAATTAACCATCTGTGTTGATTATTCATGTATGGATGCTAAGAGAGAATTTCGTTCTGAAATGCATAAGATATTGATGTGAAAGTAGAAGATATACATCCTAAAGCGCTTTTTCAAGGGACATCATTGACTGTAAGTCTAAATTAGTAACAGATAAACTATTCTACAACAATTACTGAATTGAATTCTTGATTTTCCCGTCGATTGATTGGACCGAAGTGCTCGGTCTCAGGTTGACATGTCGGCTTCTTGTGCAGATGCTTCGACGATGTCTGGGGATTTGATTTGTATACAATTGGTGGATGGATTCCACTGCTAGCCACCATCCACCAATTGTATACATATTCTACAACAAAGTTAACAAAACAAAAGCCTGAAAGGAAATATTTTCCTGGATATGAGAATTTTAATACAGTAGTAAAGTGCATAGTTCATAGTGAGATACAAAACTTAGTGGTAACTACTGGCGTTTAGATAACTTGGAATAAGCCATTAGGCTAGCTGGTTTCATGATATTATTCGATTGATTATAGTTGAATAGTGGTAAGTATGCTCGCCAACCATGTTGGCGATTGGAGTTCGATTCCCAGTTGACAAACCCCCCCTGAATCTCACTTAGGCAATTGCCAACCCAGAAAACAGAGGAGGTTATGTGTAGTCATAAATATAAGACTGGAACTTGTACAATTTGGTAGAGTATAATTCCATTGTGGGTAAAATTTAGTTTGATAAAGTCTCACAGTGTTATACAGTAATATTTAGTGGTGATCACATTTCGAACACAATTTATTGCTCATAATCATATCAAGGTATTCACTCAATCTTCTAACTTCGTTTATATAATTCCATTACGTTTTATTGCCTGACTTTATTGGTAGTAGTATTTCCCATATTTCCAGTATGAGTGACGGGTCATTCCTGTTGCACGTGTTGGGTGTAGACTTGATGAACCAGGCAGGATTCAGTAATCAATCTCTATCTATCTCCACCTATCTACAGTACTTCTTAGAATTTTAACTCTGTCCCACCCACCCTATTGTGTGGTTGTGTGTTAATGCACGCAGTGTGACTGCTGAGTTTTTTCTAAATTACGCTTCTGTCTTCGTGGGATCAATCATTCTAACCTTAGCTAAATTCTCGTTTTCTGACAATCTCACTACTCCTGATGTATTAGTTTCACCTATAAAGTTTACCTCAGCCGTTGCAAGGCATTCTGTAAATTATATTATTTTGTCTAATTGGGTCAACTGGGTTCTTAACCTCCTACAAAGCTTGTCCTGCCTGAGAGAGTTCGTAGGTTTAAATATCACTCTAATTCCTGCTTTACTAAGAATCCTACTTAGGAAGGGTCTCAGATGTCCCTTCCGTATTTGGTAGAATAGTTGATGCCTTATATACTCTCTTATTTATGTTATCATTACTAGTTAAACAATTATTTTTATTTTGTTTTTGGCCTTTACTGATCTTCCTAATGAATTTTATGGAGTAGTTATTTGATACCAACGCTTATTCTATCTGTTTAATTGCATCATTTAGATCTTTTTTTGTACTACTTAGTGCTACTGCTCGGTTTGTTAGGTTATGTGTAGGGCTAGCAAATTCAACACGCGAAATGAAAATACACCGTCAGTACAGAGACATTGCAGCTGAAGCTGGAATTCTTATCTTTTACTCAAAGACGAAAGGGAAGGCAGAAAGGATAGTCGCAAGCAATGGAATCAAAGACTCTGAATTCATTCTATTTTTGGCTTCGTCATTTGAATTTGCTAGCATCCTAAATGAGTATATCAAAACCAGAATAATCTATTGGTTTATATGCCTAGGTGCTATTCACCAGGCTATGAGAGCCACCCCTTCTGTAGCGGCTATCACCTGTGTATCTCTCAACATGACACCTAATACTAACGCTTAGATGATCCTTTAAGGTCAAAACGATGTTGGTTGATTGATGGTGGCTAGTAGCAGAATTCAGAACACGCGTTTCGTCCTATTCGAGGCTTGTCACCATGATCTACCAGCATTCTCCAATGAGTAATGCTGTTTACACTAAGAAACTCAAGGATAATAATTTTAAGCCTCCTCCCTATCATTAGATTTTATTGGTGGAAAAATAATTCCCAAGTATTGGTATTGTAGGGATTTAATTTTGATTGGATGGAGGATTTCATTGTGAGCTGACACCAGTTAGAGAACCAGTGAAAACCTGCAGGAAGTACTGGACAGCTGTTTCGTCAGCCTAGTTTGGGACTCTTCAGCAGTACGCACCCACTACCACCAGGGGTCGAAACCACGGCCTTCTGGTTACAAGGCTGAAGAGATCGTAGATTATTCAGCCACTAGAACCTGATCAAATGACCAGTCCGTGAATTCCGACTTCTGCTAATTCATGACATATCGCCACCATTTCTCAATGTCTTCTTCGATGAGTTACTGCCTCATCTTCAACCTCCTGTCCCCTACTGGTCATGGCTTCCCACTGGAATTGCTGAAGAGTCGAAAACTAGACTAAAAAAAACAGCTGTTCAGTACTCCCAGTCTTTCCAGTGGTTCTCTAACTGATGTCAGCTCATGACGAAATCCTTCAACCAATCAACGAAAAATGATTCCTCCCCCTTGTTGTTGTATGAAATACTTATTCTAGTTATTTGTTTCATTCAACTTTTAGAGAAAAGCCATGCAAGGAAAATATAAATGACCAGTCAAACGTAAAGTCAACAGTGCCATCAAAATATTCTAGTGCTCTTCTTGACGTAGAAAACCAGTCGACAAACAATCAAGTTAATCAAAGAGTCAGTGGTAATACTTCATCGGGTCTCATTAAATCGTGTGGTTATCAAGAAAAGCGAAAATCTAAAATTGAAAATCAAATAGATGACTGTATGCTTGACTGTTCTGACGTTCCTCCGCTGATATGATTTGTGATTGATGTATATGTATACATATGTGTAAGAAAGAGGTAAATAAATCTGTAAATTATGTTGTTTTTCTGTAGTTCTGTTTCTGAACTGCTCTATACTCGCAACAGACCTGACTCACTGAGTTCCAGCGTAGAACTTAGCACTGAAGTTGTAGGGGATCGCGTTATCACACTCCATGCAACACATAAAGGCAGAGGAAAGAGAGAGAGAGAAAACACATTCAGAAGGCAAAAATAACAGTTTTTGCAGAATTAAATGTTGCCATCCATTATTTCGTTTGCGCCTCATCAGCCGCTTACAGCCTAAATAAATCACTAAGTTTATCTACAGAAAAGGATCCCAATCAATGAAAATGTCGAGATTATTTTTAGCAGTCTGAGTATCTTCCACTTTCAGAGTCAGAATTCAAACGCTAATGTTTAATGTTTACCATGGATGTGTTATTCCAGTTTGATAACAACTCTTTACCGACAAATAGATCGTGTAGCTATGGGCAGTCCACCCAGCCCTGTTTTAGCAGATGTCTTTATGTCCAATCATGAAAGAAATAAGTTGAAGCATGCTTCCTACCTACTCAGATTATTTAACGAGGCGCCTACAATTATGGAAATATATATTATGGAAAATGAAATTGATGGAAAATTCCATTTCCTTGAGATAGTCGTATAACACTTAGAAGACTTTAGTCTGCAGAGGTCAGTTTACCGAAAGCCTAGTTGGAATGGCCAATAAATACATTTTAATAGTTTTATATGAATAGGTTTCAACGAGCAATAGTCAAAACTCGATACTATAGAGCTGAGAAATGCGCTCTGAAGGGGAATTAGAGGAAGCATCTATGATTCTCGAAAAGATGCTGAGTAACATTGGTTACCTTGAGAGATTCATTGACAAATATGGAAGACGTGAAGGCTCATACATTGAACAAATCTCACTGTGGAAAGAGAGACTGTCTTCATTCAATGCGATCTTGAAGATGAAAAGTTCGCAGCAATGGCCTACAGAAGATTGAGTACGTCACTAGTCAGAGTCAGTCAGTCCTGCAGCTAAGTTGGTTCCCATCTATCGGATAACATGCTATTTATTGCATTCAAAAAATTGAAAGATCCAATTCTCATGTCAACTCTAACTGTATTTACAAACTTATTTATATCTGTGGTAGCAGTTATTTACATTGGGAGTACAGAAATAAAAGCACATCGGTTTTCTGAACACGTACTGGAAAGCATAGGTCTCAAAGGAACAAATGCTTGCAAAAGTGCCAATACCGTGCATCACCTTGATACGGGTCATGAAGAGGAAATCGTGAAATCTCGCAAAGCATTGTGTGAAATTCGATAACGTAGAATTTAACTTTGCAAGAAATTGATTTTGCAATGACAAGTAGGATGAGTGAACTAATACCGGGGACAATTCAAAGTGAGAATAATATTAATAGTAACAATTGACGCATTAAGGGAACAGTATACAAATTGAATAAACAATGCCTACTAATCATATAATTCCACGTTGTCTCCCAACATCAATACACCCTATGAATTCTTGTCTGTATGACATCAATTGTTTTGCAGCCTGACATTTCACTATGGCTATAACGACAAACATTTGAATTGTATTTCATACTACTATTATGCTATTTCATGTATTCTCAGCTTTGATTCAATTCCTTCACAGGATATAATTCTTTGAAAATCATGTATAAACTATTGTACAGCTTGAAAATTACTTGACTAAAATCAACCGTAAAATGTACCCAGGAATCAAGATGGATATTTCCAACAAGGTAAGATCAAAACTCTGTCAGCAAGCGTCATGCGCCAAACGATTCCCATAGGTAGTTTATATTTTGATTACACCTTGATTCCACACCGTATTTTTCGGTACAGGCATGGCATTTTCAGCATGTGATATCGGTAGCCCAAATTTTGCAGGCCGACCATAGATATCAGGTGTGTGTCGGCAGGGGATTGAACCCCGGACCATGTGTTTGGTCGACGAGAGTCCTAACCACTGTGCCACCGACGCACAGAGTGACTTTCAATCAGTCAAAGAAAACACATCGAAAGACAACACATTATGAATGTAACGCACAACGACAGGGAGAAGCATTCAAATTAGAAACTTGACAGGAATATATTCAAATGATGAGAATTAAGTCAAGATATGACAAGCAAACATCAGAGCGGTGATGTACAGTTTAGGAGGAAAATGGATAACAATTGTGAACTATCATACATTTATTCCCCTCAATAAATTTGAATAAAGTTAGAGCTACAGTTTTTGCAGAATAAAGTGGTACCATCATTGTTTATTTCGTTGCCTTCTCGTCAGCTGCTTACAGGCTTAAGACATTACTAAATATGTCTACAAAAACAAGTTCAACATACTTGCACAGAGTTCATTTTAAACAAAAATCAATCGATCAATATATGCATACAGTAATAATATATACATATATTATGTATATGTAATATTAAACACTATTCCGAACAATAATAATCATACACAATGGAAACTTTCCAGCATTACACATCCAGATGAAAGAGAGAGATGAAAATATCCAGTGGCCAGGAACGGCAAAGAAAGACTGATAACCGCTTCTTTCTGGATGCATAGATCAGGTTTCAGGCGCTTGATGGAAATGGCTTCAGCAAACTTGAGGAGAATTGGGATTTTCTGCTCATTGATAATTTTAAAAGATTTCGCGACGTCCACCTCATGACCCGTGTCAAGCAGATGCTTGGCGATGGCACTGTTTAAGGCATTTGCTCCTTGTAGACATAAGGTTTTTGGTACATGTTCGGAAAATCGTAGATATGCCCTTCTTTCTGTTCTTCCAATGTAACTGCTCCCGCAGATACATGTAAACTGTGTATACAAACAGTTATCAATCGAATGAAATCAATCCTGTTGGCTTACATATCTGGTTCTAATTTTCAATAAATTGGTTCACCTAGTGTTGCAAAAACAACAAAAGACGTATGATGTCATTCAGCTTTCTGTTGGTTAACTGGTTGAACTCTTCAGGAGATTCGGTATCTTAGACTGTGAATTATTATCTCAGGATTTTCATCATGAACTGACATTAGTTAGAGAACCATTGGAAAACCTGGGAGTACTGGACAGCTGTTTCGTCCTAGTTTGGGACTCTTCACCAGTACGCACCCACCGGGATTTCAACCCAGGACCTTCCGGTTACAAGGCGAGCTCGTAGACCATTGAGCCACTGGGACCCGATCCAATGGTCCTTGAATTCTAACTTCTGCCAATTCACGACATAGCGCGACCGCTAGTCAATGTCTTCGGCGAGTATTTGTCCTCACACCCGACCAGCTGCACCCTACTGGTCACGACTTCCCACCGTAACCTACCTGAATAGGGCCAGTCGCCAGTGAGCATCTCATTGGTATTCAAGTGTTGGTTTGTAGGGATTTGATTGGTTTCAGGATTTCATCATGAATTGACATTAGTTAGAGAACCATTGGAAAACCTGGGAGTAATGGACAGCTGTTTCGTCCTAGTTGCTGAAGAGTCCCAAACTAGGACGAAACAGCTGTCCATTACTCCCAGGTTTTCCAATGGTTCTCTAACTAATGTCAGTTCATGATGAAAATCCTGAAACCAATCAAATCCCTACAAACCAACACTTGTGAATTATTGTATTCGCATTCACTGATAACAGGGACAATAACAATATCTCAATGAAATAACCAAATACTGAAGACTCGATTAAAGTTGAGGCGGTCGAATGCTCGTCGATGACGACACGCATGTGCCAATGTTCGATCCCCAGACAACGCACCCATAAAACTCACTCCCTAATTGGGTGGCAAGCCCTATATAGAGGGAAGGTTGGGTGTGAGACTAGCCACTCCACTCCTCAGAAATGAAACCACTCACACTAAAACTTAAAAGCTGGAAATCGAAGCTGTACATCCTACCTGAAACGCAAAGGAAACAAAATATCGAGACAGTGATAATAATAAGGCTGTGTTTTAGACAATCAGTTAACACATAGTAGAGAAATTCTCAATGTATTTAGATTTGAAAAATATTTCCTCTCCCTTACGAGACTTACAGATAAAGTAACAATCTGCAGTATATCATGTAACGCTGTATTGTTCTACATGGAGAAGGAATCAATCCTCTATGACGTTTCCCCTGCTTTTCCCTGAAGAGTTGCATCGCATTTTGTTGAAAACTAATTAAAAGTGTGTGCGAATCCATGTCGTGGTGATGAGTGATCAGTGGATATACTTGCGTGATTAAAACAATAAAAAATGGACAAGAGTCTAGGCATTATAATGAGTGTAAATTTTGGTGATGCACTGACTACAGTAGACCCCCTCAATTACAAAATATGACTGATCATACATAAAAATTGTACTAGTAGAAAATTATCATTATCGCAACTTCGAATGAACTCATATCCCCTCTGACATTCAAACCTATGTCACCAAGAGCTCTAGTCGGAGAAGTTATTGCTAAACTATTCATGCTCGCAATCGATCTCATGTAGGACTATATTGGATACGTATATTGGATACTAACTGGCGTGATGGATCTAGTCTTCAGGTTGGTGCAGACTGAGTCACATCAGCTGAGTTCTCTAGGTGACTCACCATCACGGTGCTCACTGGTTACGTCTTTGATTGCAGCTTTGGGTGGCACAAGTTCGAATCTCAGAAGGGACATGAGTATCTTCAAGTTTAAAGATACACCTTGCTGACTGATGGGCGCCAACAAGTGTGCAAGCTACGTTGCAGACATCATTCCGATTCCCTCTCTCCAAATAGCAACAACAACAATTCAGAGTGTACTGTGATGGAGAGCTAGCTACCTAGTATGGTGGTCACATTGCGAACTCAAGTAGTGGAATTCAGTCTACGCCAAACCAAGAACTAGACACATGACACTAGTTAGTGACAAATCAAATTATCCAAAAAGAATGGATACTGAACAAAGAGTACTCTTTTCGATAACCCCTTCATCATCAGGCTCTACAATTATATCTATACATTATAATGAATGAATGAATTAGTGTTATGAACAACATTAATGTTGTTTAAATAACAACGAATCAATAACAGTGATAGATTACAGCTCAATAGCATCAACATAAAATAAGCTGAATGTCAGAAAAATTAGGAAAGATAATATTACAAATTCATGAATTTATATTCTTCACTGAAGGCCGGCCAGGGAAGTAGTAGTGGCTGGTTGGACTTGCTTCTTTTGAACACAGAGTACTGGTTGTTTGAGGTGAATTGCAATAGCCTATGCTGTTCGGAGTATACGGTGCTTTAATGATGATTTTGGTAATTTATTAGGCACCCGGTAGATTACAGAG